TATGAATTTAGTAAATAGTTGCTTGAATTTATAGACAAAAATAGATATCTCCTATTTTAACATCTGTTCACCAAATACCTTAACATATTCATTATGTGGTTTTCAGCTTACTATAGGCAAGAATATTACAACTAGAGACACTTGACATTCATCATTGGGAGCATTTGTGGAAGGCACTATGTTAGTTTTGATGACTAATATAGTGGTGACTGTGAGTACCACAAGAATACAAAGTCATTAAGCAGTCGGTGTTGTGGTGTAGCAGGTAAAGCAACCGCCTGCAGTGCCGGCATCCATATGGGTGCTGGTTCGAGACCTGGCTGCTTTACTTCCAATCCAGCACTCTGCTATGGCCTGGGAAAGCAGTAGAAGATGGCCCAAGTCCTTGGGCCCCTGCACCTGCGTGGGAGACCTACAAGAAACTTCTGGCTCCTGGCTTTGGATTGGCGTGGCTCTGGCCATTGTGGCCAGTGGCTGGAGGACCTCTCTTTGCCTCTCCTTCTCCCTGTGTAACTCTGACTTTCAAATAAATAAAATAAATGTTCAAAACAAAACAACAAAGTCATTAAGAATTGTTCCCTGATCTCAAAAGATTTAGAATATATCAGGGGAAAAAATTAAATGCTAAAAATAATAGCATTAGATTTTGAAAACTTTTTATAGTATGATCATTTTTTTCTGATAACAGCTCTTTTTCATTTCTGAAAATTTTCATGACTTAAAAACTCAAGAGTTCCAAACATGAGTATTATACATGTTTCATTGTGTATGTGCATGTTTGTATGAGTATTAAGATTTTTCTAAACCTTTATAAATTTTTGTTGCTGAGAATTAAGCTAGGTTAGCGTCTGTGCTAATTTGCTATTAAGACTAAGCTGTTCACTCTTAGCCTTGGCAATTTAAAAATCTCTTGAGTTAAGGAAGGCTTTCATTCCCATCTTTATTCCATTGTTGTTTTCTGCGATCAGGGTGTCTTCCATGGCCTTGACAATAGCTGCCATTGATTTTCCTCAAAGTTTTTACTTTAGTCCCTGTAAGCCCTTGCTTCTAAAACATTAGGCTTATTTTTCTTTTAAAGATTTAATTATTTATTTGAAAGGCATAGTTGGGGGGGGGGGGGAAGATCATCCATCCTAATGGCCACAACTGCTGGAGCTGGGCCAAGCCAATACCAGGAGTTTCTTCTAGGTCTCCCACATCGGTGCATGGGCCCAAGAGCTTAGGCCATCGTCTACTGCTTTCCCAGGTGCGCTAGCAGGGAACTAGATCAGAAGCAAAGCAGCTGGGACTCGAACCAGTGCCCATATGGGATGCTGGTAACTTCAGATGGCCACTTAACCCTCTGCATCACAACACTGGCCCTGCACATGTTACATTTTTAAATAATCAGTTATCCCCCTTGATTTTTGTTTGAGATACAATACTTAGAAAGACAGTGCTCCAGGTAACATTTAATACTACCTTGCTTTAATTTATTGGCATTTAAATCTGGAACTTACTTTTGTTAGGTTTTATCAGATAAAAATATTTGTTTTCAAGGTTTTATGCACTCAACTAATTTTTCTTCCCTCTGATTTTAAAATGTTTGTTTTGTGTCAATTTTTGCTTATGATTTGTTTTTGAACTTTCCATTTTGTCCTATTGGTTGGCCTATCTTATAATAAATATGCTAGTTTTGATTGTATTTTGATTGTCTGTTATGTGGGAGACAATTTGCATACTTCTAGAAATAAACTTGTTTTTATTTAGGGTACCAGCATCTTAAAGTAGTTGATAACATTTAATAGCCTCATTATTCTATGGATATAGAATTTAAACATTGTAATAATGAACTCATGAATCAAGTTTTAAAAATCTGATTAAGAGAGTCACTAACAGAATGTCGAGCCTCATTGTTCTCACCTCTATGCTCTATTTCATATGATATATGACTGTATGAAGGGATTAATTCTGAATTGTTCTGTTCTATAAAAGGGTTTAACAGTGGGGCTGGTGTTTGGCATAGTATTAAGTTACTAGTTAGCAAGCCACATCCCGCTTGGAGTACCTGAGGTTGCTCTCTAGGTTCAGCTTCCTGCTAATGCTAATGGGAGGCAGTGACGATGCCTCAAGTAATTAGGTTCCTACCACACATCTGGATGATATGGATTGAAATTGAATTCCCCTGCTTCCAGCCCTGATTCCCACCTCTCCTTCCCAACTCTGGGCTTAACCCTGTATGCCTCAGTTTCCTTATCGATAAAAGGATGGAATGAATTATTTATGAAAAGCACCATGAACAGTGCCTGGATTATAGAAGATCTCTATAAAGATTAGGTGTATTTTTATTATAGAGGTATCCAAAAACCCCTTTGCTTCATAAAATGTATTAATTTGCATTCTTTGGAAAAACTTGGTAAGGATAAGTTAACAATATATCATTACCCTTTCCCCTGATTTATATGTGAAACCATTTTTAACAAGAGAAATTAAATATCTGACTACAGAAAAATGCTGGCATTTGTTAATATATATTTTTAGATCATGACTAAGGTAAGCAACTTTCCTAAATTCTATTTTCAAATCACATTTAATAAGATAAACTAGTGTTCAGTTATTACAGGGTTACTGTAAGTTACAGAACACATAAATTTGAATATAATTGCTTTTATTTATCAGAGTGCCTGGGTTTGAGTCCCAGCTCTGCCTCCACTTTCCAGCTTCCTGGGAGTCAGCAGATGGTGACTTAAGTACTCAGGAGACCCAGATTGAGTGTGTGGCTTCTGGCTTAATAGCCTGGCCAACCCTCTGGCTTTTTCAGACACTTGGAGTAAGCCAGTGGATGAAAGACCTATCTTAGTGTTTTTTGAGATATCTATATATTTTTTTCTTTTTCTTTTTTTATCCTGTATACATTTATTTTGATAACTGTGTTGTTGTCCTGCTCCATATTAGAAGCTTATCACATTAAGCACACAAATAGGAATTTGGTCATAAATTCTCAGCTTTATTTTCTCTGAGTTACTCTGTATTGATTAACAGTCAAGTAAAATGACAGTGATTAATAGTAGAGCATCTTTCTTCCTTCCTTCCTTCCTTCCTTCTTTTCTTTTCTTCTCTTCTCTTCTCTTCTCTTCTCTTCTCTTCTCTTTTCTTTTCTTTTCTTTTCTTTTCTTTTTGACAGGCAGAGTGGACAGTGAGAGAGACAGAGAGAAAGGTCTTCCTTTTGCTGTTGGTTCACCCTCCAATGGCCGCCGCGGCCGGCACGCTACGGCTGGCGCACCGCGCTGATCCGATGGCAGGAGCCAGGTGCTTCTCCTGGTCTCCCATGGGGTGCAGGGCCCAAGCACTTGGGCCATCCTCCACTGCACTCCCTGGCCACAGCAGAGAGCTGGCCTGGAAGAGGGGCAACCGGGACTAGAACCCGGTGTGCCGGCGCTGCAAGGCGGAGGATTAGCCTAGTGAGCCGCGGCACTGGCTCTAGAGCATTTTTCTATGTATAGTTCCAGAAGCTCATATTTTTCTGTAACAGAAAATCCAGAATTATTTCTAAGAATAGCAAATATTTCTTAATAGGATTCTGCAGCCATTCAGTGAACATAACTTTTCTGCCTCACCTTCTTGAGCAGTGGTGATCACCATCCTGTCTGCCCTTCAACAATCAGTAATATTGTTTCTTAGCAACATTAATTTTGATTTGTATTAAAACATATGCCTAATTTGACCTGAATTCTGTTGTGACTTGATTTATGCTTGAATGTTCTAAGTTTGTAATGTTTTTTCTGCCTTCTAAGTCAAGTAAATGGGCCCATTTGGTGAATGAGCCTGTCCTCTCTTTGAAACCATGTTCTTATCAACTGAACTAAGACTTAAATGCCTATAACATGCAGCATATTAATATAGCAAAATTCCTGAGGCTGGAATTAGGGCATAAAGGCTTAAGCTGCAGCTTGCGATGCCATCATCCTTTAGTGGAGCCCTGGTCTGAGGCTTGGTTGCTCTGCTTATGCACCTGCTCCTGGGAAGGTAGCAGACAGTGGCCCAAGTGCTCAGACTCTTGCCACCCACATGAGAAACTTGAGGTGGAGTTCCTGGCTCTGGCTTATTCAGGTCCAGCCTTGGCCATTGTGGTGTGCACCAGCTAATGGAAGGTTTTCTTTCTCTGACTCCCTCTCCTTCTTTAACTCTGCTTTTCAGATAAAGAAGTAAATCCTTAAAAAAAATACATGCACACACACACATATATATATATATATGTACTGTATTATTTATAGAGTGAATATAAATTTTAAGCTTTTGATAAAATTAAGGCAGGATGAAAGAGGACCCTGGGAGGCAGTAGTGATATCTCTTTACCATATACATTATTATTTATTACTTTGTGCATTATTCTGTGAGATAAACATATAGCATGTATTAAAATGTTATTGTAAATAGCAGTTCTAAAGTCAGCCTGTGTAAGTGATGATGACATGATTAGAAATCCTGGCATCCTGGATTACCGCTCGCCATCTCTATTTAGGATGTTTATGAAGAATCATGCTTGGAACAGAACTGAGGCTCTTAAGATGATCTGAAGAATCTAATGGAATCTGTTGACCAGCTCTGCTTTTTGGAAATTATCTTTGCTATTATTTTGATAATTTTCCATTAACTGTCTGGTTTTGTTTAAAGAAAAAGGTTAACAATTTTAAGTTTTTTTAGTATAATAGCTTTTGTGTTTAATAAATACATAAATATTTAGCACTTCATAGTACTTGCCATATTCTAGGTATTATTCTAAGTGTTTATATATGTGTATTAAAATGTTTTTATATGGATTATAGACATTTCTTCAACTAGTATTACATTTCTCTTACCATAGGCGTATTTCCTAATATTACCTCCTAGTCATCCTGACTTTGAATTGTATTCCTTAATGTCATATATTGAATCCATTATACTCATAAACTATGATTAAAGTAGAAATTGAAATGAATTTTAGAACTTCAAAATCATCATTTTCCATTTTTTTATTTCAGCTTTACCAACAGGGACGTTTATGTCAACTGGGCAGTGAGTTTTGTGAATTGGAAGTTTTTGCTAAAGTATTGCGTGCTTTGGATAAAAGGTAAGATTTTTTTTAAATTGTAGTAAAATACATATAACATAAAATTTACCATTTTAATCATTGTTAAGTATATAGTTCAGTGGCATTAAATACATTCACGCATTCACGTTGTAGAACTATCAACACTGTCCATTTACAAAACTTTTTCACTGCCTCAGACAAAAAATCTATACTCATTAAATAGTAATCCCCCATCTGCAGGTGGAAGTTACCATTCTACTTTCATCTCTGTGAATTTGACTCTCCTAGGTTCCTCACATACGTGGAATCATGTATTTATTTGAAAGCCAGAGTCACTGAAAGAGAGGGAGAGACAGAGAAAGAGAGACCTTACATCCATCAATTCACTCCCAAAATGGCCACAACAGCTAGGCCTGGGCCAGGCCGAAGCCAGGAGCTGGGAGCTTCATCTGGATCTCCCACGTGGGTACAGGGATCCAAGCACCTGGGCCATCCTCTGCTTCCTTCCCAGGTGCATTTGCAGGGAGCTGGATCAGAAGTGGAGCAGCCAGGACATGAACTGGCATCCATATGGGATGCCAGTGCTGCAGACAGTGGCTTAACCTGAGCCTCAGTGCTGGCCCCAGAATTTTATTCCTTTTTAAAGGCTGGATAATATTCTGTTATATTGTATTTACCATATTTTGTTATCCAGTTCCTTTTTTTTTCTTTTTTTTTTTTAAGATTGATTTATTTGAGAGAGGCTGAGTTACAGGCAGAGGAAGAGATGGAGAGGTCTTCCATCCACTGGTTCACTCCCCAAAATGGTCATGATGGCTGGGGCTGGGGCTGGGCCAGGTAGAAGCCAGGAGCTAGGAGCTTCTTCTGGATCTCTCCCATGGGTGCGGGGGCCTAAGCACTTGGACCATCTTCTGCTGCTTTCCCAGGCACATTAGCAGAGAGATGGATTGGAAATGGAGCAGCCAGGATGTGAACTGGTGCTCATATGGGATGTCAGCACCACAGGTGGAGGCTTACCCTACTCTACACCACAGTGCCAGTCCCATATCTGTTTCTTTATCAGTGAATATTTGGGTTATTTCCACCTTTTGGCTAGTGTAAATAATACTGCTGTAAACATGAGCATGCTAATAATCTCTTCATGTCCCTGCTTTTAATTCTTTTGTTTATATACCAAGATGTATAATCACTTTATGATAATTCAGCTTCTAATTGTTTTGAGAAACCATTGTACTGTTTTTCATAAGTTCATTTTTTACTTATTTGGAAAGCTAAGACACAAAGAGGCAGATGGATCTCCTGTCCCTGGTTCACTGCCTAAATGCTTATGGCTGGACAGGGCCAAATCTAGGAGCTGGAAACTCCATCCAGGTTTCCTATATGGGTGGCAGAGACCCCAGGTATTTGAGCTATTACCTGCCTGCCAAGGTACACATCAACACGAAACTAGAATTGGAAGTAGAGCCACGGCTTGAACCCAGAAACTCTGATAAGGGATGCAAGGAATCCCAAGCAACTTAACCGCTGTGCCTAATACTTGCTCCCAGTGTAACTCTCTGAGATCCAGGAAGGATGTTCCCCAATGAGGTATTATCATATAATAGGATCCACAGGGGGAGGTGATTGACTTGATTATACTCGATATTCTTTTTAGTGTTTGTCCTTAAATTTAGTTAAACGGTTATTTCTTTTTCCTGACCCAAATTTCTAGAAAAATAAAATAGTTCAAAAAAAATACTGCTCATCTCTAATACAGATATTGTTAAGTTGTTTGATTTGTTCAACAAACTAAATAAAGACTTGTCAAGTGGCTATTATGTGCCAGGTACTGAACTGGTGCCCATATGGGATCCAAGTGCTGCAGACAGTGGCTTTTTCCACTGTGCCACGGCACTGACCCCATAATTTTGTTTTTTAAAGATTGTGTTATTGATACAATTCACAGAACATGAAATTCACCATTTTAAATTATACTATCCTATGGCTCATAGTATATTCACAAAGTTTTGCAACCATCACTACCTAATTCTAGAACATTTCATCACCTCAAAAAGAAACCATTAACAGTTGCTGTCTGTTTCCTCATACCCTAGCTGATTATTAATCTTCTATCTGTATGGGTTTACCTATTCTAAATCTTTTTTAAAATGGAATCTTGTGGTCTTTTGTGGCTAACTCACTTAGCATAATATGTTCAAGGATCACTCATATGGTTGTGTCAGTGGTACCATTTTTTATGGCTGGATATGAGAAAACTCCAAAAAGTTTGTGGCAAAATGGAATTAAAAGATGCTTATTTTGGGTACAAAAAATACTGAAATCTATGAATAGTCTTCATAATGTGCATTTTTTGTGCATTTTTTTTTTGAAGAAAGACTACTCATAATTTTCCATTGTACTTGCAGGACTGTGTTTTGTTTATCCAGTTGTGTATTGGTAAACATTTGGGTTGTTTCTTTCTTTTGGCTATTATAAATAATGCTGTTAGGAACATTCATGGATTAGATTTTTGTGTGGACGTGTTTTTAATTCTGGGTATATAACCTTATGTTTAACTGTTTAACTTTCTGAGGAACTGCTAAACTGTTTCTGTGGTGGTTGTATTATTTTACGTTTCTGTCACCAGTGTATAAGGTTTCTAATTTTTCTGTATCTTAACCACTAGCCTTTTTTTTTTTTTTTCCCCCTTTTATAGTTTTCTGTGTTTTATTTTCAGCAGTTTCAGCCCAGGACCTACAGGAGATGGGACCTTCAGGGCACATCTAGGAGCCTTTAGATTATGTAGTTCTTCAGGTCTTCAAAGAGGGAGGTGCCTTTCTCTGAAGGGAGGAGAGAACCTCCACTTTGACTATGACCGTGTCTAAACAAGATAAGAGTCGGAGAACTCAAGGGGCTTCCATAGCCTTGGAAACTCATGACTGGTGCATAGGGAGATTACTGATGCCATAAACAGGAGTGTCAATTTGTAAAGTCAACAACAGGAGTCACTGTGCACTTACTCCTCATGTAGGATCTCTGTCCTTAATGTGCTGTACACTGAGGCTTAATGCTATAACGAGTACTCAAACACTATATTTCACTTTGTGTTTCTATGGGGGTGCAAACGATTGAAATCTTTACTTAATGTACACTAAACTGATCTTCTGTAAAAAAAAAAAAAAAAGAAAAAAAAAGAAATTATCAATTCCCAACTTGACTCTCACTGGGATTAAACATGACAATAGGTCTGATCTGATTTCATCATCATTTAAAAAAAATCATTTATTATTTTTCACTTTATGTTTCTGTGTGGGAGCAAACTGTTGAAATCCTTACTTAAGGTATACTAAGCTGATCTTCTGTATATTAAGATAATCGAAAATGAATCTTGATGTGAATGGAAGGGGAGAGGGAGTGGGAAAGGGGAGGGTTGTGGGTGGGAGGGACGGTATGGGGGGGGAAGCCATTGTAACCCATGAGTCGTACTTTGGAAATTTATATTCATTAAATAAAAGATAAAAAAAAACATTAAAAATTAAAAAAAAAAAGATTATATAGTTCTTATACTGGAGAATCCCTGACACATCCTTTTGTTTCAGCTTTTTTTTTTTTTTTTTTTTTTGGACAGGCAGAGTTAGACAATGAGAGAGAGAGACAGTGAAAGGTCTTCCTTCCGTTGGTTCACCCCCAAATGGTTGCTAAAGCCGGTGCGCTGCGCCGATCCAAGGCCAGGAGCCAGGTGCTTCCTCCTGGTCTCCGATGTGGGTACAGGGGCCCAAGCACTTGGGCCATCCTCCACTGCCTTCCTGGGCCACAGCAGAGAGCTGGACTGGAAGAGGAGCAACCAGGACTAGAACCTGGCGCCCATATGGGATGCCGGCGCCACAGGCAGAGGATTAACCAAATGAGCCACAGCACTGGCCCTTGTTTCATCCATTTTGTCCAGGGACATTAGAAGCAACTAATCACTGTCATTATATTGATTAGTTTTCCAAAATCTTCTAAAGTCTTGCTTAACTCCTTGATTGTTAAAAAAGTGGTTGATTAGGAGTAGCCAATGCAAACATTTTGTACATCAACATAAGCAGTTTTTGTTGTGGAATATTGGTATTCTCTTAACTACTGAAAATGGCCATTAGCATCCTTAAATCTAATATCAGAGAGCCACTTCCAGAAACTTCAGAACTAATTCAGAAATGTCATACTTAAAATTCTGTTCCTCAGAGTTGGCGCTGTGCCGTAGCAGGTAAAACCGCCGCCTGCAGTGCCAGCATCCCATGTGGGTACCAGTTAGAGTCCTGGCTGCTCCACTTCCAATCCAGCTCTCTGCTGTGGTCTGGGAAAGCTCAAGTCCTTGGGCCCCTGCAACCACGTGGGAGATCTGGAGGAAGCTCCTGGCTCCTGGCTCCTGGCTCCTGACCTCAGATCTGCGCAGCTCCAGCCATTGCAGCCAGTTGGGGAGTGAACCAGCAGATAGAAGACATCTCTCTCTCTCTTTCTCTCTCTCTCTCTGCCTCTCCTCTATGTAAATCTGACTTTCAATTAAATAAATAAATCTTCAAAAAAAATTTGTTTCTCAAACATCATCACTACCAAAATTTTATTAGTCAGGTTCTCCAGAAAAATGAGAGATTTATATGTGTGCACATACACATGCACACAAATGCATTTATGTATGTATACAGGTATAATCACATAAAATACAGATTGTAGATGAATAAGATACATATGAATAGCAAATGCATAAATATATATGAGTAGGATATACAAGTATGAATATGTATCTACATATATACTTTGTGTGTGTGTGTGTTTGTGTGTGTGTAGATAGAGAGACGTTGATTTATAATGGGAATTGGCTTATTGATTATGGAGGCTAAGAAATCTGATATTTGCCCTCTGCAAGTTTGAAGACCAGGGAAGCCGGTGATATAATTCAGATTAAGTTCAAAGGCCCAAGAACCAAGTGGTGGACAATGTTGATATCAGTGAGTGTGAACCAAGAATGCCAGTATCCAAGTCAGGGGAAGATAGATGTTCCAGCTCAGAGAACCTTAGTCTATTGGATGTGAAATGTTACCTATTGTGATTTTGATATATATTTCTGTAATCACTGATGGTGTTGAGCATCTTGTGTTTGTTGGCCATTTATTTGTGTGTCTTCTTTGGCAAAATCTTCAAATCTATTTCCTGTTAATTAGTTGTCTTTTATTGTTGAGTTATAAATTGGTTTTTAAAAGTTACCTTCAGGCTGGTGTTGTGGCACAGCAGGTTAAGCTTCTCCCTGTGGCTTGACATCCCATAAGGCACTTGTTCTGTCCCAGTTGCTCCACTTCCAGTCCAGCTTCCTGCCAGTGTCCTGAGAAAAGCAGCCAAGGATAGCCCAGGTGTGAGATACAGATGAAGCTCCTGCCTTTGGCATGGCCCAGCCTTGGCTATTATAGCCATCTAGGGAGTGAACCAGTAGATGGAAGAGCAATGTCTTTTTTTTTCTCTGTCTCTGCCTTCTCTCTAACTCTCATTTTCAAAATAAATAAGTAAATATTTTTTGAAAAAGTTACCTGCATCTTTGACATCAAGTTATATACTAAGTACTTCTCAGTTTTACAGACTTACTGAGCGATCCACTGAATAAGCGTATCAGACTAAATATTGAATTGTTGTAGCCTATAAGTCTTAGGGCAAAACACATTTTAACTTATTCCTTCTTGGAAAATAGTGGTGCTGTTATTGTTAGTATTTTAAAATGTATTTAGTTATTTAAAAAAAAAAAAAAGAAAAGAAACTATCAATTCCCAACTTGACTCTCACTGGGATTAAACATGACAATAGGTCTGATCTGATTTCATCATCATGTAAAAAAAAATCATCTATTATTTTTCACTTTATGTTCCTGTGTGGGAACAAACTGTTGAAATCCTTACTTAAGGTATACTAAGCTGATCTTCTGTATACTAAGATAATCGAAAATGAATCTTGATGTGAATGGAAGGGGAGAGGGAGTGGGAAAGGGGAGGGTGGTGGGTGGGAGGGACGGTATGGGGGGGAAAGCCATTGTAACCCATGAGACGTACTTTGGAAATTTATATTCATTAAATAAAAGATAAAAAAAAAAAATGTATTTAGTTATTTGAAAGGCAGAGTTAACAGAGAGGCAGGGACAGAGAGAGAGAGAGAGAGAGAGAGAGAGGTCTTCCATCTGCTGTTTCACTCCCCAAATGGTTCAGATAGGCTGGACCTATCTGAAGCCAGGAACCAGAAGCTGCTCCCTCTGGGTCTCCCACATGGGTGCAGGGGCCCAAGAAGTTGGACCATCTTCTGCTTTGCCAGACCATAGCAGGGAGCTGGCTCAGAAGTGAAGCAGCCAGGACTTGAACCAGCTCCCATGTGGGGTGCCAGCCTTGCAGGCAGTGGCTTTACCCACTGTGCCACAGTGCTAGCCCCAGTGGTGCTGTTATTTGATAGAGAGGCAGCTAGCATTTTCAGAATGACAAAAATGTTACCTTTATAAAATAACTTTTTTCTTCTCTTTTAGACATTTACTTCATCATTGCTTTCAGGCTTTGATGGATCATGGTGTTAAAGTTGCTTCAGTCTTGGCCTACTCATTCAGTAGACGGTGCTCTTATATAGCAGAATCAGATGCTACAGTAAAGGAAAAAGCCATTCAGGTTGGCTTTGTTTTAGGTAAGTAATGGTAATATAGAGGATGATTTTGTCCTGTGATGGACCAGAATTCAACCTAACAATAAAAGATTCCTCCAGGACTTTGCCAAAGTGTGCATGAGGAGATTATGGGAACAACATCGAAAGAACTAGTTGTGATTTGTTGATTGTTAACTCTATGGCAAATACTGTAATAGACATTTAAATGAAATCTTTGTAAATGATCATGACATTCCAGTCAAGTGACAGTATTAATAGCATTTTTCATATGTGGAAGCAGAAAAGTTGACTGACTCAAGTCACATACTAGTAGTGGAGCTAAGTTTAGAATCCTGTTTCTATATAATTCCAAAGTACATATCTTTCTACCATGTCATACTGCCATCAGTCTCTTTCACGCGTCTGCTGTATGTTGTGTAATGGGATTTAATGCTTTTGTGGCATTAATTTTTTCCATGTTTAAATTGAGGTTTATTCTGTGTTTCTTCATGGGAATATTATGAGGATAGTAAAATATAAATGTAGAAGCATTCTAAAAAATTTTGTATGCTGTACATAAAGAAAAATGTTTAGTATTTGGATAGCATTTTAAATGGTTTTCACAAGTCTGTATGGATAAGTTGGTTCTAGGCAATTGTTTGTGTTGTTATTGCATTTCATTTTTTCTTCATGGTTAAAAATGTTCCTTGATGGCCGGCGCCGCGGCTCGCTAGGCTAATCCTCCGCCTTGCGGCGCCGGCACACCGGGTTCTAGTCCCGGTCGGGGCGCCGGATTCTGTCCCGGTTGCCCCTCTTCCAGGCCAGCCCTCTGCTGTGGCCAGGGAGTGCAGTGGAGGATGGCCCAGGTGCTTGGGCCCTGCACCCCATGGGAGACCAGGAAAAGCACCTGGCTCCTGGCTCCTGCCATCGGATCAGCGCGGTGCGCCGGCCGCAGCGCGCCGGCCGCGGCGGCCATTGGAGGGTGAACCAACGGCAAAGGAAGACCTTTCTCTCTGTCTCTCTCTCTCACTGTCCACTCTGCCTGTCAAAAAAAAAAAAAAAAAAAATGTTCCTTGAAATGATTGTAAATTTGCAGAAAGTTGTAAAAGATTACCTAGAGTCCTTTGAACTGTTTCTCTAGCAGCCTCCACTGATAACCTCTTTTAGAACTGTAGGCAAAAATCAAAACCAGGGCATTTTTTTTTTTTAAAGAGTTATTTGAAAGTCAGACTTACACAGAGGAGAGGCAGAGAGGGAAAGAGGTCTTCCATCCGATGGTTCATTCCCCAATTGGCCACAACTGCAGGAGCTGTGCCGATCTGAAGCCAGGAGCCAGGAACTTCTCAATCTCCCACGTGTGTGTAGGGGCCCAAGGACTTGGGCCATCTGCTGCTGCTTTCCCAGGCCACAGCAGAGCGCTGGATCTGAAGTGGAGCAGCCAGATCTCAAACTGGCACCCATATGGGATGCCAGTGCTTCAGGCCAGGGCATTAATCTGTGCCACAGCGCTGGCCCTAAAACCAGGGAATTTTATACTATTAACTAGCTTACAGACCTTGCTTAGTTTTCACCTTTTTACATGCACTCATTGTGTATGTGTGTTTTTCTGTGTAATTGGTTTCATGTAGATTTGTGTCATCCTCATTGCTGTCTGGAAACAATACTGTTCTGTCACTATAGACTACCTTTTGTTTTTTAGGTTCTCACATTATTGTGTGCATATGCATGTTTTCTCTGTCAAATGCATGTGCAAACCCATATGCATATACAAGGCTTTTCCAACAAGCTTTCATCACGTCTTTAAATCTTTGTTTTCAGTTGTTAATTTTTATTTATTTAAAAACAGGAGAGAGAAATTTCCCATCCACTGATTTGATTCCCCACATGCTCATAACAGCTGAAGCTGGAAACTCAGTCCATATTTCTCACATGGGTGGCAGGAAATCCAGTACTTGAGCCATCACTTGCTGTTGTATGCATTAGTTAGGAAGCTTGGATCAGGAATGGAGTGGGGACTGGAACCTAGGTATTCCGATGTGAAATGCAGGTGTCCACACAGCATCTTAACAACTGTATCAAATACCCACTCCTTTGCAGGGGCTGGCATTGTGGGGTAGCTGGTAAAGATGCCACCTGTGGCACTAGCATCCCATATGGGTGCCAGTTTGTGTCCAGCTGTTCCAATCCAGCTTCCTGCTGGATAGTCCGTATCAGAATGTCCAGCTCTACTTCTAATTCCAATTTGGTGCTATGTGTACACTGGGATGTAGCAGGTGATGGCTCAAGTATCTGGGTCCCTGACACAAACTTAGGAGAACAGTATTGAGTTCTTGGCTCCTGATTTTGGCCTAGCCCAGCCTCAACTGTCATGGGCATTTGTGGAATGAACCAGTAGATCAAAGGGACATCTGTTCATCTTCCTCTGTTTTACTGGTTTTCAAATAAATTATTTAATAAAAAGCTGTCATCACAGACATCTATTAAGGTCACAGCACTCCATTGTTAGAGACATTCTTTGAAAGAGTAAATACTGAAAATTCTTTCCAGAAAAGAATATTTATTCTTAGGTTGTTTCAGCAAACTGTCTTTGACCACTACAAAGAACTATTCTTTCTTTTTTAAAGATTTGTTTGTTTATTTTGAAAGTCAGGGGGAGAGAAAGTTCTGCTGGTTCACTCCCCCAATGGCTTCAACAGCCACCACTTGGCCAGGACAGAGCCAGGAGCCAGGAGCTTCATCTGGGTCTCCCATATGGCTGGCAGCTGCTCAAATTCTTGAGCCATGTTCTGCTGCTTTTCCAAGGCCATTAGCAGGGAGCTGGATCAGAAGTGGAACAACTAGGACATGAACCAGCGCCCACATGGGATGCCAGCATCATAGGCAATGGCTTTACCCACTATGCTACAACATTGCCCCTGCCCCCAGTTAATTTTAGATGGTCAGGGCAGGCATTGTGGCACAGTAGTTGAGTCACTGCTTGGGACATCCACATCCCAAGTCAGGGTGCTTGTGTCCTGCTTCGCTTCCAATCCAATTTCATGCTACTGTACCCTCTGGGATGCAGCTCTGTCGTCCATATGGGAGACTCCAGGTGATTTTTAGACTTCTGGCTTCTTCCTTTCCTAGCCTTAGCTGCTGCAAGCATTTGAGGAGTGAACCAGAGGATGGAAGAGTTTGCTTTCTCTTTCTGCCCGTTTGTGACTTTGACTTTCAAATAAATAAAGATAAATACAAAACTTTAAATTAAAAAATTTAGAAGTTAAAAATAACTTTAGATCTTGTAATAATCTATAAGGGAGAATAGTGCCAAGCAAGGTAGTGTTCATTGAGTTTTTCTGTCAACTCCACATATACTGTTATCAATCTGGCCATTGAAATGAATTCGATATCTTGGCGATAGAAGCAGTCCTAACAAACTCATATTATCAGTCTTAATCCTAAAATTATCTAAAGGAGTGAAAAAATTTCATACCAGGAGTATACAGTGGTGGAGATTAAAAGACAAACCGACAAGTTTAGAGACAGATAATTCACATGCCGTTGATTTCACCCGTGTAAAGCATATGATTCAGAGTACTTAGTGCTTGTGCGCTGAAGCAGGTTGTGCAGACATCATTACAGACGCTTTTAGAATATTGTCTACCTCAAAAAAGAAACCCATACACATAAGCATTCTCCACTTCCCTCCAGCCCTAGGCAACTGTCAAGCTGCTTTCTGATTATAAATGGACTCATAACAATACATGGTCTTTGTTACTGGCTTCTTTCATTTATTGTAATGTTTTCAAGGTCCACCCATGTTGTCGAGATAGAATTTGTTTTTCATTAAGAGTTTTGAACCAGGTGTTAAGAGAACGGAAAGAGCAAAAATCCCTCTCTTTCTCTGTCTTTACCTCTTTCTATATAATTTTGTCTTTCAAATAAAAAAATAAGTCTTTAGGGGCCAGCGCTGTGGTACAGTAGGTTAATCTTCTGCCTGCAGCGTCGGCATATATGAGCACTGGTTCTAGTCTTGGCTGCTCCTCTTCTAATCCAGTTCTCTGCTGTGGCCTGGGAAAGCAGTAGAAGATGGCCCAAGTGCTTTGGCCCCTGCACCCACATGGGAGACCAAGAAGAAGCTCCTGGCTCTTGGCTCCAGATCAGCACAGCTCCAGCTGTTGCAGCCATCTGGGGGGGTGAACCAACAGAAGGAAGACCTTCCTCTCTGTCTCTCCCTCTCAATGTCTGTAACTCTACCTCTCAAATAAATAAATGAAATCCTTTAAAAAATTTTTTTTAAGATTTTAAAATGTGCAAAAATGTGTGTGGGTTTTTTTTTTTTTTTTTTTTTGACAGGCAGAGTGGACAGTGAGAGAGAGAGACAGAGAGAAAGGTCTTCCTTTGCCGTTGGTTCACCCTCCAATGGCCGCCGCGGCAGGCACGCTGCGGCCGACGCACCGTGCTGATCCGATGGCAGGAGCCAGGTACTTATCCTGGTCTCCCATGGGGTGCAGGGCCCAAATACTTCGGCCATCCTCCACTGCACTCCCTGGCCACAGCAGAGAGCTGGCCTGGAAGAGGGGCAACCGAGACAGAATCCGGCACCCCGACCGGGACTAGAACCGGTGTGCTGGCGCCGCAAGGCGGAGGATTAGCCTAGTGAGCCGCGGCGCCGGCCCAAAATGTGTTTTAAGATTAGAAAAACACAGTAAATTACTTTTTGTGTTATTATTGTAACTAATCCTGAATAGCATTGTGAGAGGTTTCTCATAATAGCTAAGGTGGAATAATAACTACATTTGAGCCTCTACAATCAGATTGAATGGATTCAAGTCTTTTTACCTCATACCTTGTAAACTTTGATTTTACTGTGCCTCAAGGTTTTTTCTCTGTTAAATTGGATTAGTAATAGTGTTTAAGTTGAATGTGTTGTGAAACTTGAATGAGAAAATTCATATGGCATTATTAACACGATACAAAACGATTTACATAGTTAGTAAAAATGTATTAAATGTTAGGTATTGTACGGGGCTAAAATCCTCCAAAAATGTAACAATATTCTCAGCTAATGATGTGCAGTATGTTGAGTCTGTAGGAGGGCAGTTATTTAATTTCTTGCTTAAAAAAAGGAGAGAAACCAACTTGTCATATTTAAAATGGTTTCATTAATTTGAAAGATTTTTCAACTCCTGGTCATTTCCTAAATGCCTGTAGTAACCAGGATCAGGCAAGGCCAATGGCAGGATCCCAGGACTCAGTCTGGTTTCCTACATGGATGGCAGAGACCCACCTGTTATCTCTCAAGGTGTGCATTAGCAGGAGGCTGGATTAGAAGTAGAGCTGGGGATGGTGGTGGGGGTTCCACCGTGACATAGTAGGTTAAGCTGTTGCCTGCAGTGCCTGCATCACATATGGGCACTGGTTTGAGTCCCAGCTGCTCTGATTCCAATCCAGCTCCCTGCTAAAGCACCTGAGAAAGCATAGGAAGATGTCCCAAATGCCTGGGCCCCTGTACTCACATAGGAGACCCGGCTGAAGCTCCTGTTTCTGGCTTCAGCCAGGCCCAGTTCCAGCCACTGGGGCCATTTGGGGAGTGAACCAGCAGATGGTTCAGATATCTCCTAGACTCTGCCTCCATGACTCTGCCATTCTTTTCTTTTCTTCTAATGTTTTTTTTTTTGTTTTTTGTTTTTTGTTTTTTTTTTAAGATTTACTTATTTATTTGAGAGGCAGAGTTTGAGACAGGGAGATCTTCCATCTGCTGGTTCACTCCCCAAATGGCTACAGTGGCCAGAGTTGGGCCGATCCAAAGCCAGAAGCTTCTTCTGGGCCTCCCACATAGGGCTAAGGCCATAAGCAGGGAGCTGGATTGGAAAAGAAGCAGCCTGGACACAAACCTGTACCCCTGTGGGATGCTGGCACTGCAGATGGAGGCTTAATCTATGCCACAACATCAGCCCCTGCTTTTCAAATAAATAAAGTAAATCATAGAAAAGAAAGGAACAAAGTACAACTCAACAAGAAACATCTCAATTAGAAAATGAGTAGGGGCGGTGTTGGGTTACAGTGGGTAAATATCCTACTTGTGATGCTGGCATCCCATAAAGCTGCCGTTCATGTCCTGGCTGTTCCACTTTCGATCTAGCTCCCTGCAATGGCCTGAGAAAAGCAGTGGAAGATGGCTGAAGTGCTTGGGCCCCTACCACCCACCTTGGAGACCTTGATGAAACTCCTGGCTTTGGCCTGGCTCAGCCCTGACCATTGCAGCTACTTGGGGAGTGAACCAGCAGGAGATGGGAGACTCTCTGTGTTGCTCCCTCTTTCTCTGAAACTTCTACAAATAAATAAATCTTAAAAATTAGGTAGAGCTGGGGTTTAAATCCAGGCACTCTAATATGGGATGAGGTGTCTTAACTACCACACTAAACACCTGCCCCTCATTGTCTCTCTTCTTGGTGATGTACCGCTATAATAAGATTAAGTTTATTCATATTTCTTTTTTTTTTAAACCTTGTCTCTCTTATAGTTTTCTTTTTTTTTTAAGATTTATTTATTTGAAAGTCAGAGTTACACAGAGAGAGAAGGAGAGACACACAGAGAGAGAGAGGTCTTCCACCCACTGGTTCACTCCCCAGTTGGCCACAACAGCCAGAGCTGCACTGATCCGAAGCCAGGAGCCAGGAGTTTCTTCCAGGTCTCCCATGTGGGTGCATCTTGGGCCATCTTCTGCTTTCCTAGGCCATAGCAGAGAGCTGGATCGGAAGTGGAGCAGGCGAGTCTTGAACTGGTATCCATAGGATGTTGTCACTGCAGACGGCAGCTTTGCCTGCTATGCCACAGCACTGGACCCATATTCATATTTCTTAATTTTCTTTATGGAATGCGGAGATTGAAAGTTATGCATGTATTGCAAGATGAAAATATATACAGAATAATTAGAATTTAGTCTGATTATTATTCATTACCTATAAAATACCAACTCTTAGGCAATAGAGAATTCTTTGAGGGTTAAAACTCTTGAAATCTCATTCAGAGTTCAGCTTTGATCCTAATTCCCTTAATTTGAAACATTTTTAGAAAATAAACCTTCACAATAAGTGACGGCTGAATAGGGAACTTTAATATTATGAAATTTTTTAGTTTAGATATTCACTGTTTGGATTCAAGAACTGTATTATGTTATCTGAAGTTACTGGGTTTTCTTGTTCTTCAGGTGGCTTTCTTTCAGATGCAGGCTGGTACAGTGATGCTGAGAAGGTTTTCCTGTCTTGCCTGCAGTTGTGTACTCTCCATGATGAGATGCTTCATTGGTTTCGTGCGGTAGAGTGCTGTGTGCGGTAAGTTGGAATGGATCCTTCAGCTATGCTCTGGTGGCACTGAGTGGCTTTTGTAGTTTAAGTTCTTCCAAGTATACTCAAGCATTTGAGTAAGTGTCTACTGGGGTATTTATATGTCAAAGTTTCACTAGTCTGGCCTTTTGTAGTTCATCTTCAAAATATGGTTAATCTGTTCTAGACAGCTTAGTTTAGATTGCATTATTACGAATCAGAAATTGTTTCATATGTGTATTTTTGCTTTCTCATAGATCTTGTTTGATCGTTCAACAAATATTTATTTCATTTGTGCTAGAAACTATGTTAGGTATTCGATGCTGGTAAACTCAAGACATACTTTTTCCTTGGGTGTTTTCTTTAAATCCATGCTTTATTTACATTTCTATTATTGTGCATAGTTATTAATATTTTACTTATAACTTGGCTGTTTTCTGTGAAAAATCCTTTTTTTTTCAGATGTTCTTAAAGGCAAACAAATCTAGAGGTGATTTTTGTCTTTAAGGATATTTGAAAAGCATAGTTGATGGGGAGGAGCAATAGATAGAGATGTCTTCTGTTCTCAAGTGCACTCTACAAAAGGCCACAGTGGCCAGGGTTGGGCCAGGCCAAAGCCAGGAGCCAAGAGCTTCTTTCAGTTCTCCCAAATGAGTATTTGGGGCCTAAGCACTTGGGCCATCTTCTGCTGTTTTTCTGAGCCATTAGCAGGGAGCTGGATCAGAAGTGGAGCAGCTGGGATGGGAATTGGGTGTGAATTGGCACCCAGTGGGATGCCAGCATCACAGGTATTGGTGTAACCTGATATACTAAAATGCTATCCCTTAGTGGTTACTTTCATTATCTTTTTCTGCACATATAACATTTATCTTTAGCTATTTTCATATACATTTTTCCTCTGTACCACAATCTGATTTGGCATTTTCTAAAAAATATGTTTTTATATAAAACTAAAGGGAGCTCAAAATAAATTTTTAAAAATTTGCATTTACCCTTGACCTGTTGGTTAAGCCACCAGTTGGGATGTAATGTCTTGTATCAAGAGTACCTAAGTTCCAGTCTCAGCTCTGCTGCCATTTCCAGCTTTGTGCTAATGTGCCCTCAAGAAGGCAGTGGATGGGCCAATGCTGTGGCATAACAGGTGAAGCCACTGCCTGTGGTGCCAAAATCCCATATGAGCACTGGTTTGAGTCTCAGCTGCTCCACTTCGATCCAGTTCTCTGCTGTGGCCTGGGAAAGTAGAGGAAGATGGCCCAAGTCCTTGGCCCTCTGTACCTGCATGAGAGACCCAGAAAAAGCTCCTGCAGGGCTCCTGGCTTCAGATCAGCAGAGCTCTGGCTGTTGAAGCCATTTGGAGAGTGAGCCTGCAGATGGAAGACCTCTCTCTCTCTTCCTCTCTGTCATTCTGCCTGTCAAATAAATAAATAAATAAAATCTTTAGAAAAAAGAAAGAAAGAAAAGCAAGGCTAGATTTAAAAAAAAAAAAAAAGGCAGTGGTTATGGCTCAAGTAGTTGGGTCCTTGCCACCCATCTGGGAGACATAGATTAAGTTTCTGGTTTCCAGCTTTTTCCTGGCCTAGTCTATCTTTCTGTCCACAGCATTCTATCCCTTCCTCCCTCTTTCCCTGTGCCACTTTTCTGTCACTCTTTTTCTAAGGTTTACTTTTTATTTGAAAGGCAGTGTGACAGAAAGATCTTCCAGGGTCTCTCACATGGGTGGCAGAGGTCTGGGTACTTAGGCCATCTTCTGCTTTCCCAGGTGTACTATCAAGGAACTGAATCGAAGCAGAGCAGCCAGTATTCAGAGTGGTACACTGATCTAGGCTGCCGGTGTTCCTAGTTCCTGAGTATTTTAGAGATGACTTAATTAAATCTAAACCCCTTCAAAACTAGAATATAGATTGTTCTATAAAATCTTTTTTTTATAAGCTAACATGCTCTATTTTAACCAGTTGGATTTCTGTACTTTGAGTTTATTTTATGTAGGCCTTCCCTATAGAGACATTCAAAAGTTAATAATGTATAGACTTATTTATAACTATTTTAGCAGCTTATGATAAATCCCCACATGTATTTAATAAGTACTAGATGATGAATTATAAGAATTTTTATGTGCAAGAAACTCAAGGGTTTGAGACTTGGACAAGTAATTCATATTAGTAATTTGTAGTAACATGTCTGTGTCACCCATTCCACTTCTGCCTATTCTGTCATTGTAGGAATAGGAGACTAGAGTATCCCATATGAGATTTGAAGAGTTACATATTTTTATTATGTGAATTGATTTATTTAAAATAGAAAACCCATTCCACATGATTTCATTATAGTTTATAGCTTTCTTGACCAAAAGATAATATATTTCTTTCTCTATGTGTTTGGTTGTTATTCACTGAATCATAAAATTCATTTCATCCAGATACCCAGTATTTCTTTATTTGAGAGGCAGAGCTACAGAGAGAGACAGACACAGAGAGAGGTCTTCCATCCACTGGTTCACTCCCTAAATGGCCATAGCTGCTAGACCTGGACCAATCTGGAACCAGGAGCCGGGAGCTTCATTTGGGTCTCTGGCATGGGTGCAGGGTCCTGGATGTATGTAGCAATTAGGCCATCTTCCACTGCTTTTCCAGGCCACCAGCAGAGAGCTGGATCAGAAGAGGAGCAGCCAGGACCTGAACTGACTGCCCATATGGGATGCTGGCACCACAAGCAGAGGCTTAACCTCCTGTACCACAGTGCCGGTCCCAGATTCCTGTATAAATTTTTCTTTAGCCTAACCAAGAAGTTAACTTTTGTTTTAGGAGCAAGACTCTCCTTCCTTCCTAGATTGTCATCTTTATCAAGTAGCACACAGTGTTATAGTTGGAAGTGTGATAACCAGGAGGAAGGGGGAAGGGCAAAGGCTTATGCCAACTGAGTCTGTTATTTTTCTTTTTTAAATTTTTATTTAGGTATTTGAGGGGCAGTAAGGGAGCTACAGAGGAGGAAAAAAGAGAGGAGAGTGAGAAAGCTCTCATCTGTTGGTTCATTCCTCAAATGCCTTTTAGCAGCCAAGGGTGGACTGGGGCTGAAGCCAGGATCCAGAACTCAATCCAGGTCTACAAGTGGTTGCAGGATTATCACTGCTGCTGCCAGGGTCCACAATAGCAGAAAGCTGAGTCAGGAGCCAGAGCTGGGAGTTAAACCTGTGTGCTTTGAGGTGGGATATGATTGTTAACTGACGTCACTTTTTAAAATTTTTTTAAAGATTTATTTGGCTGGTGCCACGGCTCACTTGGCTAATCCTCCACCTGCAGCGCCGGCACCCCAGGTTCTAGTCCCAGTTTGGGGCACCAGATTCTGTCCCGGTTGCTCCTCTTCCAGTCCAGCTCTCTGCTGTGGCCCGGGAAGGTGGTGGAGGATGGCCCAGGTCCTTGGGCACCTGCACCCACATGGGAGATCAGGAGGAAGCACCTGGCTCCTGGCTTTGGATCGGTGCAGTGCGCTGGCTGTAGCGGCCATTTGCGGGGTGAACCAGTGGAGAAGGAAGACCTTTCTCTGTCTGTCTCTCTCATTGTCTAACTCTGCCTGTCAAAAAAAAAAAAAAAAAAAGATTTATTTGAAAGGCAGAGTTGCAGAGGCAGAGAGAGACGAGGGAAGAGGTCTTCCACCTGTTGGTTCACTCCCCAGATGGCTGCAATGACTGGGGTTTGGTGGGGCTAGAGCCAGGAACCAAGAACTTCTTTTCTTCTATATCTCCCTTGTGGGTGCAGGGACCCTAGTACTTGGGCCATCTTCAGCTGCTTTCCCAGGAACATTAGCAGGGAGCTAAATCGGAAGTGGAGCAGCCAGGACTCCAACCAGCCCTGAAATGAGAAACCAGCACCCCAGGCAGAGGTTTTATGTGCGATGCCACAATACTGACCCTGCCTACCTCTCTTTTTGTAATAGAAAACATACTACTTTCCCAGAAGCATAAGCCTGTCTCTCTCTCTCTCTCCCTCTCTCTCTCTTTTTTTTTTTGAGCGGCAAAGAGACATATAGACACAGAGAGAGTTCCTGTGTGCTGCTTTACTCCCCAAATGGTGGGCCAGGCTGAAGCCAGGAGCTGGGAAATGCGTCCAGGTCTCTTAAGTTTGCAGCTGGGACCCAAGTATTAGAGCCATCATGTGCTACCTCTAGAGTGCAGAGGTGGGACTCAAGCCCAGACACTACGATATACGATCTAGGTATTCAAGCCACACCCTAATCATTACACCAGACACCCCCTGTTCCCCACCCCCAACCCCCCAGTGTAAACTCAGAAAATTCTGAATACCCTCTCACTTGTGTAAGGTTGTCTGGGAAGCAAAACATTTTTAATTGTGCATTTTCCTACCCTGAGTAAATTCATGGGTCTGTATTAAGGAAAAGGGAGCAGAGAATATTGAATAGGCAACTAACAGTATAGTGATTACCTTGCCTTTGAAGCAAGTACATGCGAAATTAGAATATTGGCTGGACCAGGAAACCAAGCCACTTAAAATGCTAGCTTACTGCCTGTATACCAGGCCAAGACATTTTGTACTTACGAATTTGAGATTTCAAAATATACTTTGTTCCTACATAAATATGTTTGCCAAATTCTTGGTTATTGCAAGTTTTTTTTTACTTTATATAAAATCTAAAATTCTGTCATATACTTAGTATTGTTTGAAAAAGACAGTTAAATTTTTCTGACCTAGTTTTGTTTTTTGTTATTTTAGGGCGGAAAGAAATGTGGGTTATTAATTGACCATGTGTTTGGTAAAATTGGAAAAAAAGTGTTTTGGAGAACAGATACTAATGAAATCTATTTGGCTAATCCCCGGAGTTTTGAGATTGGTGCAAGAGAAAGGATGACTTTTTCAATTTAATATCACAAAGCCAATTTCTTATCTGTGGCTGGCATGAAAACATTATAGAGCTAATGTCAGAGAGCTTTCTTAGCATTTCTTTCTTTCTTTCTTTTTTTTTTTTTTTTTTTAAGGATTTATTTATTTGAAAGGCGGGGTTATTGAGAGAGAGAGAGACGGGTCTTTGATACTCAGGTTCACTCCCCAAATGGCAACAAACACTGGAGCTGAGCTGATCCGAAGCCAGGAGCCTGGAGCTTCTTCTGGGTCTCCCACGTGGTTGCAGGAGCCCAAGGACTTAGGCCATTCTCTGCTGTTTTCCCAGCCCATAACAGAGAGTTGGATTGTAAGTGAAGCAGCCAGGACTTCGTGGTGTCAATAAACACACAGTACAACTTAAAAAAAACAAAAACAAAAACAAAAACAAAACGAGCATCGATATAGGATCCCGGCACTGCAGCTGGTGGCTTTACCTGTTCTGCCATAGTGCCAGCCCCTTTCTTAGTATTTCTGGGGTTAAACCTGGTACAATTTTTTAGTTCTTTTGTATTCCTTCAGGACTTTGCCTGTTTCCCTTAACTCTTTTTTTTATTTAAGAACTATTTTGTTGTTGTTTATTCATGCTGTTGCCAAACAAATTCAGGAAATGGAGAAAGCTATGAAGAAGAAAATGTTATGTGTAACCCAGCTACACAGAAATAACCACAGTTGTTATATAGTCCTCTCTCAGCTTTCATGTGGGATTGACCCACAGTTGGTTCTGGGATTCCAGAATTCATGAATGTTCAATTCTCTAATATAAAATGGTAAAAATATTGCATAAAGCTTATGTATATCTTCACATATACCCTAGATTATTTCTAGAATACTTACACCTAATATAATGTAAGTACTATGTAAATAGTTATACTGTAGATTACAAGAAAAAAAATTGGTATATGTTCAGTACATATGCAGATTTTTTTTCTTGAATGTTCTCTATCCTCAGAACCCATGGAAAGGAACACGTTTATGGAGGGCTGACTGATGTTACATTTTTGGAGGCTGACAACCTAAAAGCATGTACCTGATCTCCTTTTCGAGCCTTGTCTCAAGTTAATCAGTCCATGAGTATGATTTATTTGAGGTTAAGATTTCTCTAGACCTCCAGAGGAGAGAGAACTTTGTTTTGGCCTTCTGAGGAGGGGCAGAAGAAACTTAGATTTTTTTGTTTTAGCAATATGTCTTTTTTAAAAATTATTTATTTTAAAGATTTATTTTATTTATTTGCAAGACTGACTTAGAAGGCCGGCGCCGCGGCTCACTAGGCTAATCCTCCGCCTTGCGGCGCCGGCACACCGGGTTCTAGTCCCAGTCGGGGCACCGGATTCTGTCCCGGTTGCCCCTCTTCCAGGCCAGCTCTCTGCTGTGGCCAGGGAGTGCAGTGGAGGATGGCCCAAGTCCTTGGGCCCTGCACCCCATGGGAGACCAGGAGAAGCACCTGGCTCCTGCCATTGGATCAGCGCGGTGTGCCGGCCGCAGTGCGCCTGCCGCGGCGGCCATTGGAGGGTGAACCAACAGCAAAGGAAGACCTTTCTCTCTGTCTCTCTCTCACTGTCCACTCTGCCTGTAAAAAAAAAAAAAAAAAAGACTGACTTAGAGAGAGGTCTTCCATCTGCTGATCCTACCCCCGCAAATGGCCACAACAGCTGGGCTTGGGCCAAGCTGAAGCCAGGAACCAGAAACTTCATGTGGGTTCAGGGACCCAAGCACCTGGGCTATCATTTGCTGCTTTCCTAAGCACATTAGCAGGGAGATGGATTGGAAGTGGAGCAGGTGGGACTTGAACCTGTGTCCAGATGGGATGCTGGCATTACAGGCAGCAGCTTAACCAACTGTGCCACAGCGCTGGCCCCAAAACTTAACATTTTTATTTTAATCATTTTCTACTGTCTATTATTTTTTTAAATCATAGACCATGATTATCTTAATTTTTTTTCTTAAGTGGAAAAACAGCTTTCTGAAGTAAAGATTGGGGAGAGACTTGAATCAAGATTGAAAGAAAACCGTGAGTCCTAGGCAGTAGAATTTCCTGAAATCCGAAGTTAAATTGAAATTAGAAGTGAGAAGAAAATAGCAGGATCTCAGTTTTGAGGTAAAATAACTATACCTTGCCAACTTCTAGGGTAAAATAAATAATTTTCAAGTCTACCAAGACCCAGTACCCCTCTTTGTACCTATCTGAGTTAAATACTCAAGGAATTTCTGTAACCAGTTACAAGTTGAGTAATAACAAATGTTAAGGAAAGATGTAGAAACAGTAGTGAGTAATGAATATTATAATACGTGTTTTTCATGTAAATATACTATGAAGAGAATTTATAATATGTAATGGGATGTTTTTACTAGGTCTTAAGTATACTTTTCAAATTGGAAATGAAAGGCTGATAATAGAAATGACATAAGAAAGGACTCTCAATTACCATATATTCTTAAATGTAAGTTTTCTTTTTCTGAAAATCTTGCCTTAGCAAAAGCAGAAGAAAGTTTCTTGAGTCACATGGAGTGAACAGCAAAGTACTCTGAACAGCTGTCAGTGCTGATGGTCAGGAAGCTTCTAGAAACCACTGGCAGTTTTCTTTTTAAGGAAGTAATAAAATTTAACAGGTTTAGAACTACTCTGGGGACCATCGCTGTGGTATAGTGGGCAAAGCCGCCACCTGCAGTGCTGGCATCCCATATGGACACCTGTTTGAGACCTGGCTGCTCCACTTCCAATCCAGCTCTCTGCTATGGCCACCTGGGGAGTGAACTAGCAGATGAAAGATCGCTCTCTCTGTCTCTGTCTCTGTCTCGGCCTCTCTGTAACTCTGCCTTTCAAATAAATAAAATAGATCTTAAAAAAATGTCCTTATAGTTGTATCTGTAAATAATATAGTTGTATCTTTATTAATTGGCATTTGAGAGATTCAGGGAGTGATTCAGTTGTGAAGATCATAGATGTCTGTTTTTAACGCTTTGCGAATTGGTCACTTATAGCTTTGGCTAAAGTTTCTGGTGACATCACACTTAAACATGGACTTCACATGTGGAAGTGTTTTACTCTGAAAAGCTGTCAAATAACTCAGAATTAACTATGGGATTGTTGAATACATGTTTCCAATGTATGTCAGTTGTTGGAATAGTTTTATAAATTGTGAGGCACAAAAGCAATTTTCAAAAGTTTAAATTTTAAGAATGACTTTATTAACAAAAGATTAAAATTATAAGCTTTAAAAAGTCCTTTAAAGCCCTAAAACTTGATATTTTCAAGTTGATAAATGTTTTTAAATTGGAACGAGAGGCTTATCTTACTATATTTAAATTACTTTATATTAGGCCTTCAAAAAGTTCATGTGAAAATGGATTTAAGAGTGCAGATTTAACAGTCGTAGGATGCACTGATTTTTAAGTGTACAGAGACAGGCATTTGGCAGAGTACTTCAGTTGCTCTTGTGATGCCCACATTGCTTACCAGAGTCCCTGGTTTGAGTCGGGGCTGCTTTGCTTCCTATCTAGCATTCTGCTAATGTGTGCCCTTTGGAGGCAGCAGGTGAAGGTATTTGGGTCATGTGTAGGATGCTGGTGTTGGTGTCGCAGGTAGCGACTTTACGTGCTGTGCCGTAACACCAGCCCCTCTGGTGTTGTAAGATTGCTGCCATTGTTTGAATTATCCATTGAAGATTCCACATGGATCAGGAGACGACTCTTAAGCACCATGTTCTTTTTCTTTTTTTCCTACTGTGCAGCCCACTTGAGTGCCAGTACCCCATGGACAGAGGCCGGGCAATGGTTCAGGGCCACAGTTCGCTCTGGTGTGGGATACCATGAGAGGCGCAGGACAGTGGGCCTGCCGTAAATCCAAACCCATACATACCATTTCTTGTCTTTAAAGACAATCTTTCTCAATCCATGAGTCTCATTAGCCAGAGCCAGATCATTTGGTGATGTCTAGATTCACTTATGGTCAAAGGGAATTGTAAAATAATCATGATTTACTCCTAAGTCCTGTATGAAAAGGTTTGATGCCTGAACAAAATCAGAGCTTTACCATCAAGTAAGAGTTAGGAACTATGGTTGTCAGTTAAGGGGCCAACAGTGTCTTACCTAACAGTGATTTCTTCCTTGACTTAAAATGAAAACCATACCAGAGTAACAAAGAGAAAAGAGGGAAAACACAAATAGCTAAAGTCAGAAGTGAGACTCAGGACATCACTACCAACCTTTTCCAGAGACAAAGAGAATTTTGTGGGGCCTGTGCTGTGGCATAGTAGGCTGAGTCTCCGGCTTGTGGCATCTGCTTCCCATATGGATGCCAGTCTGTATCCTGGATGCTCCACTTGTGATCCTGCTCTCTGCTATGGCCTGGGAAAGCAGTGGAAGATGGCCCAAGTGCTTGGGCCCCTATACCCGTGTGGGAGACCCAGAAGAAGCTCCTGGCTCCTGGCTTCAGATCAGCTCGGCTTCAGATCAGCTCAGCTCCAGCTGTCGCTCCCCCTCTTCATGGAGGAACGACACAGGACCCTGCGCTGTTCTTTCGTCTGCTCGGCCCTCCCCGGGTTTGCTGCTGGTTCTTCCCGGGTTGGCTACTATCCCTTCCACCTCCATGGAAGGGCAGTTCCCCCTGGCCACATTCCCCACTTCCGCAGGGGAGCGGCACACCGCCGGCCGGCTCTCTCGGGGGCTGCACAGGTTCCCTTAGATGTTCCCCTTAGATGTTCCCGGTGCATGCCGTCTCTCTCCTCCTTTATAGTCCTCCTCTGCCAATCCTAACTCGGCTGCCCACACGCCGAGTACGCTGCTCTCCTCCAATCAGGAGCAAGTCCTACAGTTTATTAGCTGAACTGGAGGCAGCTGTGCAGAAGCTGTTTACTTCTCTCCCAGCGCCATATTGTGGGAGAGCAGATGCATAGAATAAGTCTTAATTCCAGTAACTCAGTCTAGTCCGGTTTGCTCCCCACATCCAGCCTCTGTGGCCATTTGGGGAATGAACCAGCAAATGGAAAATCTTTCTCTCTGTCTCTCCCTCTTTTTGTCTATAACTCTACCTCTCAAGTAAATAAATCTTTAAAAAATCTTTTAAAAAATTCTATGAACAATTGCATGCCAACCAGATTGTGTAGATAAAATGGATAGATTACCCAAGTGACCCAAAAAGAAATAGAAAATCTCAGTTGTATACCAAGTAAAAAGATTGACTTTGTAATCAAAAACTCCCTAGTAAAGAAAAATACAGGACCAGGAGACTTTACTAGTTAATTCAACCAAACATTTAAAGAAGAATTAGTGCAAATTCTTGCAGAAAACTGAAGAGGAGGGATTATTTCCTAACTCATTTTATGAGGCCACCATTACCCTGGTACTAAAGCTGAAAAACACTTTACAAGAAAAGACAGCAGGGAGCTGGGTCGGAAGTGGAGCAGCCAGGACTTGAATAGGCATCTGTATGGGATGCTGGCATCGAAGGTGGAGGTTTAACCTGCTATGCCACAAAGCCAGACCCTTTTTTTTTTTTCTTTCTTTTTTTTTTTTTTGACAGGCAGAGTGGACAGTGAGAGAGAGAGACAGAGAGAAAGGTCTTCCTTTGCCATTGGTTCACCCTCCAATGGCCGCCGCGGCCGCCGCACCGCACCGATCCGATGGCAGGAGCCAGGAGCCAGGTGCTTTTCCTGGTCTCCCATGGGGTGCAGGGCCCAAGCACCTGGGCCATCCTCCACTGCACTCCCGGGCCACAGCAGAGGGCTGGCCTGGAAGAGGGGCAACCGGGACAGAATCTGGCGCCCCGACCGGGACTAGAACCCGGTGTGCCGGCGCCGCTAGGCGGAGGATTAGCCTAGTGAGCCGCGGCGCCGGCCCAGCCAGACCCTTTTTTAAAAAAAAACAAAAACAAAAACAAAATCTGTGCACTGGATTACTCCCCAGATTTCCCACAACAGCTAGGGCTCAGCCAGAACTAAAGCAGAAGCTGAAAACATTATCCAGATTTCCAGCGTACATATTAGGGACTCAGTCATTTGAACTTCACCTGATGCTTCCCATTGTGCACATTAGCAGGAAGCTGGAATTGGGAGTGGAACCAGCCATCAAATCCAAGTGTTCCAGTATGGGAAATGGACAACTTAACCACTGGCCAAACACCCATTGTCACAGAATTGGGGGGGGGCGGGGGGGCTGTGATTAAATCATCTTGGAGAGGTGTGGTGGTGATGGTTGTAAGACATGATGAATATAATTAATGCCACTGGATTGTATCTAAATATGGTGAATATGGCATCTTTTAGATATATTCTCATGATGAAGTTAAGAACCTGTACCAGTCTTTATTCTCATCATCCATCTATTCCCCCTTTCAATCTGTCATTTTTCCAAAGTTTTATCAAATTCTTTTCAAAAGATGCTTGTGGGAAGGAGAGAAATTCATTGCTTAGAATTAGATTTGCTTTCAGTATGCTTTATTTGTGTCATATCTGTCTGATGAGTTCTAACTAGTAATCTTAATTCTTCTTAAGGTAAATAACTTAATAACTAGTGACATCTAAATACTCAGATTTTCCATTCCAAACATTGAATGGCTGAGCTAATTAACTAACACTTCTGACAATAGCATTGATCAGGTACATGTGATTTTTGTGTTGTCATAAAAGTAAAATACCATGCTTAACATTGGTAGTGCTACACTTGGAGAGAATTGAGAACATGCTTTTTCCTTAGCCTAAGTCTCAAGACAAAATTAGACAAGGGTCCAGCATTGTGGCACAGCTGGTTAAACAGTAACTTGTAATGCCAGCCTTCCAGGGTGATGGTTTGAGTACTGCCTATTTGGCTTCTGATCTAACTTCCTGCTAATACAACTTGGAAGGCAGTGGGTGATGACTCAAATGTTGAGGCCTCTGCTACTCACTTGGGGACACAGATCGAGTCCCGGGCTCCTGGCTTCAGCCTAACCCATTCCTGGCTGTTTTGGCGATTTGGGGAGTGAACCAGCAGATGGAAGATAATCTCCCTGTCTCTTTTTTTCTGTGTTTCTGTGCCTTTCAAATAAAAAAAAATTGTACATTTGGTTGAGCCAAAAGTTCCTTCTCCTGCATGCTGCTTAGTGTCAGCTCAGATGGCCACATTGACTGTAAAGAGTCTCCGTGTGTTTACTTCAACCTTCTGTTTGAATAGACAAGCAGTAGGGACTAGAGAAAACATTAAGTTGTGCCTTTCTGGCATAAAATGTCTAGTTTGCTGCCTCATCATACACCACTTACTATGTAATTTTCAGAAGTTGTTATTTTCAGGGAATACTTAAGTGAGTGAAAGCCTTGGGAAATGCAATCCTTAGCATTGTAAAATGAGAAGTAAGCACTTTTTCATTCTCTAAATTTACAATTGATGCCTGAGTTCTCCTTTTTTCTCATTCAGCCATTTAGCTAACTATCAAATTTATTTCTACTACAAGGATTTTTTCCCCCTGGACTATTGCACTATATTCTATACTGGCTGCTTTATTTATTTTTTTAAATTTTATTTATATACTTGAGAGGCAGAATTAGAGTCTTCCATCTGCTGGTTCACTGCCCAAATGGGCGCAGTGGTCAGAGCTGGGCCAATCAGGAGCCAGGAGCTTCTTCTGGGTCTCCCACACAGGTGCAGGGACCCAACCACTTGGATCATCTTCTGCTGTTTTCCCAGGCCATCAGCAGGGAGCTAAATCAGAGGTGGAGCAACCAGGACTCCAACTATTGCCTGTATGGGATGCTGCCATCACAGACAGATGCTTCACCTACTACACCACAGCTCTGGACCCTGGTTGCTCCACTTCGTTTTCTACACTGCTTTGGAACTATCTTACTAGAGTTGTACTGGCCTATATGATAGCCTTTACCCATATGTAACTATTTACATTTAAATTTGTTTATTTACTTTAAAGATTTACTTATTTGGCAGAGTGATAGAGAGGGAAAGACAGTGAGAAAGAGGGAGGGATTTACTTATTTGACAGAGTGACAGAGAGGGAAGAACAGTGAGAAAGAGGGAGGGAGATCTTCCATCCACTGGTTCACTTCCCAAGTGGCCACAAACAGCTAGACTGAAGCCAGGAGCCAGAATCTCCATCCAGGTCTCCCACCCAGGTGGTGGGGGCCCAAGCAGTTGGGCCGACTTCTGCTGTTTTCCTAGGTGTATTAGCAGGGAGCTGTGTCAAAAGTGGAGCAACTGGACCATGAACCAGAATTCTAATACAGGGTATAACATTGCAGGTGGCATCTTAACCTGCTACAATGCCAGTCTCTTACATTTAGATTAATTAAAAATTAAAAATGAGTATTTAATTACATTCGGCACATTTCCTTTTTTTTCTTTTCTTTTCTTTTTCTTTTTCTTTCTTTTTTTTTTCTTTTTTTTTTTTTTGACAGAGTGGACAGAGAGAGAGACAGAGAGAAAGGTCTTCCCTTGCCATTGGTTCACCCACCAATGGCCGCCGCGGACGGCGCGCTGCGGCCGGCGCACCGCGCTGATCCGATGGCAGGAGCCAGGTACTTATCCTGGTCTCCCATGGGGTGCAGGGCCCAAGGACTTGGGCCATCCTCCACTGCACTCCCTGGCCACAGCAGAGAGCTGGCCTGGGAGAGGGGCAACCAGGACAGAATCCGGCACCCCGACCAGGACTAGAACCCGGTGTGCTGGCGCCGCAAGGCGGAGGATTAGCCTAGTGAGCCGCGGCACCGGCCCGGCACATTTCTTAATACTCAGAATCCACTTGTGGCTAGTTGCTACTAAATTAAGCAACACAGGTAACAGAACTTTTTTTTTTGCAAGAAAGTGAGATGAAGGAAGGGACAGATCTTCCATCCTTTGGTTTGCTCCCCAGGTGGCTGCAATGGCCAGGACTGGACCAAGCTGAAATCAGGATCCAAGAGCTACATTCTGGTCTCACATGTGGGTGGGTGGGTGGGGGGCCCCAAATACTTGGGCTGTCTTCCACTGCTTTCCCAGGCCCATTAGCAGGGAGCTGGATTAGAAGTAGAGCAACTGGGAAACGAACCAAAGCCCATAAGGGATGCCTGTGTTGCAGGCAGTGGCTCAACCAGCTGCGCCACAATGCTGGCCAGTAAAAAATTAACATAATACCTAGGGAAACTGTATTAGATAGCATTGTTTTGTATCATAAATTAGTTTACTTGCTCTTGTAACTAAAAATTATTTTCATGGTTCCAAGGCCCTACAGAAATCTCTGACATTTCTATCTTTTTTTTTTTGACAGGCAGAGTGGACAGTGAGAGAGAGAGACAGAGAGAAAGGTCTTCCTTTTGCCGTTGGTTCACCCTCCAATGGCCACCGCGGCCGACGCACTGCACTGATCCGTTGGCAGGAGCCAGGTACTTATCCTGGTCTCCCATGGGGTGCAGGGACCCAAGCACTTGGGCCATCCTCCACTGCACTCCCAGGCCACAGCAGAGAGCTGGCCTGGAAGAGGGGCAACCGGGGCAGAATCTGGCGCCCCGACTGGAACTAGAACCCGGTGTGCCGGCGCTGCAAGGTGGAGGATTAGCCTATTGAGCTGTGGCGCTGGCCTGACATTTCTATCTTATTTATCTTTACATAATTCTTTTTTTTTTTTTAAGATTTATTTTATTTATTTGAAAGAGTTAGAGAGGTCGAGCCAGAGAGAGAGGTCTTCTGTCTGCTGGTTCACTACCCAAATGACCACAATGGCCAGATTAGAGTTGATCCGAAGCTAGGAGCCAGAAGCTTCTTCTGGGTCTCCCACGTGGGTTCAGGGGCCCAAGGACTTGAACCATTTTCTGCTGCTTTCCCAGGCCATAGCAGAGAGCTGGTTTGGAAGTGGAGCAGCCAGGTCTCGAACCGGCTCATTTGGGATGCCAGCCGGGGCTGCAGGCCGGGGCTTTAACCTGCTGTGCCACAGCACCAGCCCTAATTCTTATACCCTTCATTCTGTTCTTTGTGACACATTTTCCCCCTTTATTAGGGCCTTTGCAGTTGGCATTCTTCACGTGGCTGTCTTACCAACATTTTAAGTCCCAACTTTGATATTACATCCTCAGAAGAATTCTCTCTATGCTAAGCACTTCATTTTGGAAGCTTTTGGGGTCGACGTTGTTGCATAGCAGGTGAAGCTTCCACCTGCAGTGCTGGCATCCTGTATCAGAGCACCAGTTGGAGTCCCAGCTGCTTGACATCAATTTAGGAGTGAACCAGTGGATGGAAGATTGATCTCTCTCTCTGTCTCTCCATCTCTCCCCATTTCTCCCTGTCTCTTCTCTCTGTAACTCTTTCAGATAAAATAAAAATCCTAAAATAAAAAAAATAAAATTCATTCAACTCACCATTCTAGAGTAGCCTGGCAAATTATTATATTCATTTCCACTTTAAACTAGAATTTGGTTTTCTAAAAGATACTGCACGATTTTGGATTAACCAAAATATATTATTTATTTTGTTTAAGGGTTTTGTTATTTCCTAAAAGCAGTTAACTCTACAATGAGTGTTGAGCAGAAACATGCTGATATTGTATGGTATGCACCACCTTATTGATAAGTTCTTGTTATTTTGAAGTTATTCTGTTTTTTTCTGACTGTTTAAAGGAGTGCTAGAGAATAGAAGATTATTTGAATTGTTCTCATTTTGGGTTGTTGATCAGTTAGCTTTTTACTCCTGAAAACTGCTTCCTAACCTGTCCATACTTTTTTTTAGTGGCTTTTTATAATTCTGTTCCCTCTCAGGCTAAGCATTTTCAGAAAATTCTGTTGACCTGGTATGTGGACACAGTATTCTCGCTAGCATTGTTATAGATACATAAGGATTTGTCTAGTCCTCACACTATCCTTCTATCTTATATAGTCTGTGTAAATGTTCTGATCTAAAGCGCTTTACTGTTCCTATATATCATTAAAAAGCATCTTTCTGTGGTTATTTTGTGGAAAGAACTGGATATTTTCTACCATAGGGGATAGAGGTCATCAAAGAAATTGCTGACTCTAGTGCTGTTTTTAGTGAACTTAGTCTTGTTGGAAAGATGAACAACAATAAGCTGTTAGGAATCATCATGAATTCACTGGTAATTGCTCAAGTGTTACACAGATGATTTAAAAATAAGAACAAGGGCTAGTATGTGGTACTATGGGTTAAGCTGTGATGCCAGCATCCCATATTATAGTGCATATTCAGGTCCTAGCTGGGCTGCTTCTGACCCAACTTCCCGCTAATGCACCATCCATGTGAGGAGACCAGGGTAGAGTTCCTGGCTCCTGTCTTCACCCTGGCCCAGCACCAGCTGTTGAAGCCATTTGGGGATCTCCTTCTCCCCCTCCCCCTCCCTGTCCCCATCCCCTCCCCTCCCCTCCTTCCCCTCTCCCTCCCCTCCTCCATCTCCCCCTCTCCCCCTCTCCCGCTCTCTCCCTCTCCCTCTCCCTCTTCCTCTCCCTCTCCCCTTTTTCTGTGTTAGTCTGCCTTTCAAATGAATAGATCTTTTTTATTCCTTTTTTAAAAAAAGGAAATTATGGATGGTAGTGTTCTGTATAATTTTCTTCATGATTTTCCAAATTGCTTATGCTGAAACCATGTTACTTTTGGATTTGGAACCCAAGGAGTAAGTGTTCTTTTTTTTAAAGGTAGCACATGCTGAGTACACAAAGTATGTGAAAGTACTTAAGAAGATAGGGAGTCAGTATTGTATGAGCTTAACTTAGTCATGGAAGGTCTGCTGAGAAGACCGTGTGCTGTACTAACTTTTGGGCATTGGTCTGATCTAGTTGCCTTGAGTCATATGGGACTATGTGGTGAACTGAAAGAGATTATTAGGTCTGCCCTACTAAAAATACCAACCATAAAGGATTGTACTTGTGTTTTTACAGGTTGCTTCATGTGCGAAATGGAAACTGCAAATACCATTTAGGTGAAGAAACATTTAAGTTAGCTCAGACATATATGGATAAACTATCAAAACATGGCCAACAAGCAAACAAAGCTGCACTCTATGGAGAGCTGTGTGCACTTCTATTTGCAAAAAGCCATTATGATGAGGTAAGTGTTTTGAGGCACATTTCATTGTGATCAGCACCTATAAAATAGGATAAATCAGTCTTCCCCAGTATGTCTTAGAGATCTCATTTTCATTTTCAAGTGTTAGGTTTACACTTTTGTAAAGGAATATTTAAAATTAGAAGGAGTATTTGTGCGGTGGACTTTAAATATGTACATTTACAATTTTAGGACCTTTTTTGTTCTTATATTAATTTGACTTAGTGTCTCTCTGCCTAAATTGTTTTGGTGGGCATCTTCTTTTAAATGAACCTTCATAGATGCTTTTGATTGGATATGTAGCTCCAAATCAACTCTCCTAATTTAAGGTGTTCATTTCGATGCAAAGCTAGATTTTATTTTTTTACTTCTGAATTTGAAAGAGAGAGATAGCACACTCCCATTTGTTGGTTCACTCCCCAAATTCCAGCAGCAATCTAGGCTGAGCCAAAATTGGGGTCTCCCATATGTGTGATAGTAACTGAATTACTTGAGTTATCTCTGCCTAGGATCTGCATTAGTTGGAAGGTGGAGTTAGGAGCTGGAGCCAATATCAAATGCAAATACTGTGATGTGGGATGAGGATGTCTTAACTGCTAGGGTAAACACCTGCCCTGGGAAGCTAGATTTTATTTCATTGCTTTGCTCCCTACCTTATGAGGAATACAGCTTCATTTCTGGCCTTTTTTTTTTAATCGATAAATTAATGCTTAGGTGCTAATAAATACATACTTTATATATGCTTAACTCCTTTGGTGGTTATTGTGTTTATAAAAGGATATTGTAATTATTTTACTTATGTATTTTTTTTTATTTTATTTATTTGAGAGGTAGAGTTATAGACAGTAGAGGGAGAGACAAAGGTCTTCCTTCCGTTGGTTCACTCCCCAAATGGCCCCAACAGCTGGAGCTGCACCGATCCGAAGCCTGGAGCCAAGTTTTCTTCCTAGTCTCCCATGTGGGTGCAGGGGCCCAAGCATTTGGGCCGTCTTCTACTGCTTTCCCAGGCCGAAGCAGGGAGCTGGAATGGAAGTGGAACAGCCGGAACTTGAACCGCCACCCATATGGGATGCCAGCACCGCAGGCAGAGGATTAATCTACTGTGCCACGGCACCGGCAGCTGTAGTTATTTTATGCTGTCAAACAGCTGCCATTTTGCTTTCATATTTTAAAATAATCCATATCTTGATTTTGTCCTGTCCACATATATGTGTACACACAAACACACACATCATATATATATATCATACATACATATACTGTGTTTAAATGAAAATTATTAGGGCCAATGCTGTGGTTCAATGGGTTAAAGCCTTGGTGTGCAATGCTGGCATCCCATTTGGGCACAGGTTTGAGTCCCGGCTACTCCACTCCAATCCAGCTCCCTGCTAATGTGCCTGGGAAAGCAGCAGAGGATGATTCAAGTCTCTGGGCCGCTGCACCCAGGTGGGAGACCCGGATGAAGCTCTTTGCTCCTGGCTTCAGCTTGTCTCAGTGCTGACTATTGAGGCCATTTGGGAAGTGAACCAGCAGATAGAAGACCTCTCTCTGTCTCTCCTTCTTTCTGTCTCTAACTCTGGCTTTCAAATAACTAAAATCTTTTAAAAAAATCTTCACTAGAACTAAAGTCTGAAAATTATAGAATAATTGTGATGTTTGTGTAACTCTGATGGTAGCATCATCTTGCTTTCAATATCTACCACAAGAATGCATTGGCTGGCGCCATGGCTCAATAGGCTAATCCTTTGCCTGCAGCGCTGGCACACCGGGTTCTAGTCCCGGTTGGGGTGCCGGATTCTGTCCCGGTTGCCCCTCTTCCAGTACCAGCTCTCTGCTGTGGCCCAGGAGTGCAGTGGAGGATGGCCCAGGTCCTTGGGCCTTGCACCCAGGTGGGAGACCAGGAGAAGCACCTGGCTCCTGCCTTCGGATCAGCGTGGTGCGCTGGCCGCAGCATACCAGCTGAAGCAGCCATTGTGGGGTGAACCAACAGAAAAGGAAGACCTTTTTCCCTGTCCACTCTGCCTGTCCAAAAAAAAAAAAAAAAAAAAGAATATGTCATGCGTCAAGGAGAAGGTGTTTGGCCTAACGGTTCAAGTGCAGGTTAACCCATGTCCCACATTAGAGTGCCTGAATTTGATATCCAGCTGTGGTTCCTGACTCCTGCTTTCTGTTGATGTATGCTGTGGGAGACAGCAGGCATGGCTTACATACATGGAATCCCTGGATTGAGTTCCTAGTTCTTGGCTTCAGCTCAGCCCCATTCAGGCTATTGAAGGCATTTGGGGAATGAACTAGGAATTTCAAATTCACTCTTGTCTATCTCAGTCTCTCTGCCTCTCAAAGAAATAAATTAAAAAAAAATAAAAGATTTTATAAATGCTGCTTGGAATAAAATAAAAGGGAGGAGTGGGCTTTGCATCGCAGCAGGTCAAATTGCTTCTTGGGAGGTCTATATCGTATCCCGCATCACAGTACTGGTTCCAGTCCCAGCTTCTCTGCTACCTATCCAGCTTCCTGTTAATGCATCCTGAGAAGCAGTGTATTATGGCTCAAGTACTTGGAACATTGTACACAAAGGGCAACAAAACAGAATGGATTCAGCAGATACAGGAAAAATAACCATAAACGGATGGATGTTTGGTGTGGTAGTTAAGGTACCACTTGGGATACTGACATCCCGTGTCAAGTATTTGAAAGCTTTTAGGAAAGATTCCCAACTGTTTTGTTAACTACTGTTAGTTTGATTTATTGCACCTCTGTGTATTCTGTAACTGCCTTTCTCTTTAGGCATACAAGTGGTGTATTGAGGCCATGAAAGAAATCACAGCAGGCTTACCAGTCAAAGTTGTGGTAGATGTTTTAAGACAAGCATCTAAGGTAAATAATTTATTAAATGAATTATAGGACTTATCAGGCTATAAATTTGTTTTAATTTACCTGTTGCCTTATATATTAGTTACTTGATACTATACAGACAAGTCTATTTGCAAATTTTTTGAGCCAAGTTTTAGAAAACTCTTTTCTAACTTATGTTTTAAAGACTAATTTTCCTTTACCAAGAAAGCCTCTGAAATAATTTGTATTGGTAATTTTTTCAGATTGCTAAAGTACACATCACAGTAGTTGGTGATACTCTGGCTTGAATTTATTTTTGCTTTTCTTAAACCTTTATAGCAACCTGAGCTCCATATGTGACTGAAGTCCAAATTTTATGGACTTCAGTCACTTTTCTCTTAAAGGGTAGCCTCACGTTAGTATTAGTATTACAGTCTCAAGTCAGCTTTCTGCTGTATTGACTCTCTGGGCAATTCAGATTTGATTTCTCTCTTGTTTCTTACTCTGAAAGTAAGTGCGTTAACTCTTTGAAATTGTTATGTAGTATTTCAAAACTGCTGCTTCGGGATACCAAGACCTTAAAGCATTAATGTACTTTTCAACATACACTCTTTCTACACAGAAGTTTTGAATTTCTACCCAGAAGTTTCATTTTGGTTAGTTTTACTTACGGAAATTGAGTTAAAACAAAGATTCCAAAACTGTGGATATAGAAGAGTCTGCTATTTCTTTGAAATTTATTGACTCAGTCATTATCAACAGCACTATAAAAGGGATATTAGAATGTTTTAAATTCAAGACATTGAAAATTAATGCAAGTTTATATTTATATATGCAAATCATTTATACTTTGTAGAGTTACTAGTTATCCTCATGGTTCAAATATTTTAGGAATTAAAAAATTGTGTAATATTTCAAAATTATAAAATGAAGACTACAAAAGATAATTGTAATCTACTCCAGAACTTAGATATGAGTACCTTAAAAAATATTCTGGTGGGGTTGGTGCTGTGGCGGAGCAGGAAAGCCACTGCCTGCAGTGCCGGCATCCTATATGGACGCCAGAGTGAGTCTCAGCGGCTCCACTTTCGATCCAGCTCTCTGCTATGGCCTGGGAAAGCAGCAAATAAATAAAAAAATCTTTAATTTAAAACAGAAGGGTTTGGGGTTGGTGCTGTGGTGTAGTAGGCTAAGCCTCCACCTATTGCGCTAGCATCCCATATGAACACTGATTCCTGTCCTGGCTGCTCTACTTCTGATCCAACTCTCTGCTTATGGCCTGGGAGAGCAGTGGAAGATGGCCCAGTGCTTGGGCCCCTGAAACTGCATAGAAGACCTAGAAGAAGCTCCTGGCTCTTGGCTTCAGGTCAGCCCAGCTCTGTGAACTAGTGGATGGAAGACCTTACTCTCTGTGACTATGTCTCTCAAATAAAAAATAAATAAAATCTTTTAAAAACATAGATAGGATTATACACCTACAATTTGTAAGATACTTTATTGTAACAAATTTACACGGGGAATAAGTGTCAAAATTTCAAATTTTATGATTTTCCCGAATTGTATATATATCTGTAATAGAATTCTGGACTACTTGGCAGAAAATAAATTGTAAATAGAACCCTTGTATTTTCTGTTTGAAGATTTTTTTTCTTATTGACTATTTTTTTAAAAGATTTTATTTATTCATTTTAGAGGTAGAGTTACAAATGGTGAGAGGGAGAGACAGAGAGAAAGGTCTTCCTTCCATTGGTTCACTCCCCAAATAGCCGCAATAGCCGGAGTTGCACCGGTCCGAAGCCAGGACCCCTGCAGGTGCAGGGGCCCAAGCACTTGGGCCATCTTCCACTGCTTTCCCAGGCCATAGCAGAGAGCTGGATTGGAAGAGGAGCAGCTGGGACTAGAACCGGTGCCCATATAGGATGCTGGCGCTGAAGGCAGAGGATTAACCTACTGCGCCACTGCGCCGGCCCCTCTTATTGACTATTATAGTCAGTAGTATATAAGTTATACTTACTGTAGCACACTAATGAACTAATTAATAATTAATAATGAGTTAATTAATAATTTTTCACTTTGTCTTTAGGCTTGTGTAGTAAAACGTGAATTTAAGAAGGCAGAACAGCTAATTAAACATGCAGTATATCTAGCACGGTAGGTGATTGTTATTAAAAATGGCTTTTTAGTTGTCTCTCTGTTGTATACCTTAATAATTTTGTATCTTTTTATAGGGATCATTTTGGGTCCAAACACCCAAAATATTCTGATACACTGCTAGATTATGGATTCTACTTACTCAATGTAGATAATATCTGTCAGTCTGTTGCAATTTATCAGGTATGTTAATGATTACCTCTTTTGTTTTCTTTCAATTTAAATTGACTTGCTGATGTGTATTTATTTGGAGAATATAAACTGGTCCCTAAAAATAACTGAGTTCCCTCCTCTCCCCAGGGCATATCAGTATTTTACCAAGTTTTATCTAGAATGCCTAAAAGTTAATATTGTAGGGATTAAAGAGAATCAGGAAAGGAAATGGACTGTGGCCTGTATTTGGGAACACTTTCCATTTTTCATTTGCCCAGGTGATGGCTTGTTTTGTTGATTTAGCAGGTGTCACTGTATTCCATTGCTCTAGACAAGGGATCCTTGGTTTTGTGGTTTAATTTTGAAGAGAGACATAGAGAAAAAACAGTGGTATGATTCCCAAGATGTAGAAGTTATGATTATTATTAAATCACTGCCTTTCACTTCAGATTCCATCTTGGAATATCAGGCCTTCTGGGTAACTTTGGAACTGGTTCTATAGAATATGTATTTAAGTTTTTAGGATGCTTATTTTAACTAGGTGGTGTTTTCTAAAGGCTTACAGTATTGTCATATTTTTATGATTCTTTCAGGCAGCTCTTGACATTCGACAGTCAGTATTTGGTGGCAAAAATATCCATGTAGCAACAGCTCATGAAGACTTGGCTTATTCTTCCTATGTTCACCAGTATAGTTCTGGAAAATTTGACAATGCACTGTAAGTTCCACAGTCGTCTTTTCTGTGAAGGGTTAACAACTTTTTTGTCTTTTCCCTGATATAGTAGTACTTAATATGCCTTATGAATTGAAGTTGTCTTTCTGGAACATTAATAGAATGTATAAAAAAATCTTTTAGGCCGGCGCCGTGGCTCAATAGGCTAATCCTCCACCTAGTGGCGCCGGCACACCGGGTTCTAGTCCCGGTCGGGGCGCCGGATTCTGTCCCGGTTGCCTCTCTTCCAGGCCAGCTCTCTGCTGTGGCCAGGGAGTGCAGTGAAGGATGGCCCAAGTACTTGGGTCCTGCACCCCATGGGAGACCAGGAGAAATACCTGGCTCCTGCCTTCGGATCAGTGCGGTGCGCCGGCCGCAGCGCGCCAGCCGTAGCAGCCATTGGAGGGTGAACCAACGGCAAAAGGAAGACCTTTCTCTCTGTCTCTCTCACTGTCCACTGTGCCTGTCAAAAAAAAAAATTTTTTTTTAAATAAGAAGTAGAGTAAGAGAGAGAGTGCCAGCATGGGTGTCCACATCTGCTAGTTCACCCCCCAAATGTCCACCATACCCATAGGACTGAAGCCACGGGCCTGGGTCTGACTCCAGGTCTTCTGCATGAGTGGCAGGAACCCGACTACTTTAACTATCGTTGCCTCCCAATCTCTCTGTTAAATGGAAGCTGGAGTCAGGAGCCTGGAATCCAACCAAGACACTCCAGTGTGGGATGCATGCATCCTAACCTAAACACGTGCATCCTAACCACTAGGCCACTCACCCTTAAAATGTTTTTGAATTTATAAAAAATCATGCCAAATGTGTAGGTCTTTCATTTAGACTTTACTTGATTTAATATTGAGACTTGCATATTATCATATAGTGTGACTTCTAAGTATTTTCTTTAATCAGAACAGAGAAATACTTGTGTCTGTGTGTCTCTGTGTATATATATGTGCATGTCATCTTTTTTTTTTTTCAATGCAAAACTGAGCTTTTAAGAAGGGAAATCCTCAAGGGCTAGTAATGCATGCTGGAATCCAAAGGGTTAGGCACGAACCATGGTGTAATTGTTCTCTGTGATGGGAAAGCTGCCAAGTTTCAGTAGCCTTGATTGAACAACAGCCATGAGTTTAAGAGACATTTATGCTGTGCTTGAAGAAAGAAATGGACCTCATAGGAGAATTTATAACTACAGACCTGTTTTTCAGTTGATTTTCATAGATGCAGGAACCTCCAAACTGAGAACAAATACTAAAAGGAACTTTGAGGCAGCTAGTTCTCCTGAGATGCCTTGTGGAGAAAAATGGAAAACTCTGGGAAATAATTTGTCATCAACCGAAACCATACATAGATCTCATAGATATAGCTCTAGCTAAAATAAATTCACCATCAAAAATTGCAAAATAGAGATGAGCATGTGACCTAGCAGTTACACCTGCATCCCATATTGCAGTGCTTGGGTTCAAACCGCTTCTGACTCCTGACTCCAGCTTCCTGCTGATGTAGACCCTGGAGGCAGCAGAGATGGTCAAGTAACTGGTCCCAGTTTTTGAGGGCATTTGGGAAATGAACCACTGGATGAGAGTGCTATTGCTCACTTGCTGTCTGTTTCTCTGCCATTCAAGTATGTAAATATAAAAATTTTTTTAATTGCTTAAGAAAACATTTGCATTATGAGTGAGAGAACAGGATTAGAACCCTAAGAACTTTAGTTACCAAATTTTTCTTAGTAGTACCATAAAGTACATATTCTTGAATGATTAAAGCCATAAAATGGGCTGGCATACCTTTGCCTGTAGGCAAAATAAAGTGGAACATTGTCATGTTCTTTTATTTGTGTATATCTTACGGCTGCTTTCATGATCCAACAGCAGAGTTATACACTATAGCCCTTTACAAGAAAGCTTGTAGACGCTGATATAAAAGAAGGAATCAGTAATATTTTGGAGGGACAATAAAAAAGACAGATTCTAAAACAAAACCACTAGTATGTGCTACAATACAGATGAACCTTGAAAACTTGTGATGTGTAAGAAGCCAGTTAAGAAGGATCATATATTGTATGATTTCATTTATTTGAAATGTCTTGGGGGCCAGCACTGTGGCTTAGCGGATAAAGCCACCCCCTGCAGTGTTGGCATCCCATATGGATGCCAGTTCAAGTCCCAGCTGCTCCACTTCCAATCCAGCTCTCTGCTGTGGCCTGGGAAAGCAGTAGAAGATGGTCCACATCTTGGGCCCCTACACCCGCATGGGAGTCCCAGAAGCAGCTCCTGGTTTTGGATCAGCACAGCTCCAGTTGTTGTAGCCATTTGGGGAGGGAACCAGCAGATGGAAGATTTCTCTCTCTCTTTCTCTCTCTCTCTCTCTCTCTCTCTTTTTTCTTTCTTTCTTTCTCTTTCCCTCTGCCTCTCTGTAACTCTGCCTTTCAAATAAATAAATAAATTTAAAAAAAAAATTAAATTTCTTGTTTAGGAAAATCTGTAGAGACAGAAAGTAAATTGATTTTACATAGGCTGGGGAGTTGTGGGGAAATAGGGAGTAACTGCCAGTGAGCATGTTTCTTTTGGGGGAGAATAATTGATTATGTCATGGTGAGCTAGTTATTCATACAACTCTGAATATACTAGAAATTGTTGAGTTATAATAATTTAAATGATAAATTTTGTGCTATTTGAATTATATCTTAATAAGAAGAGCTGTTAAGATAAATAAAACAAGAGGCCAGTATTGTGGTATAGTGGGTAAGGCCACTGCCTTTGACTCCAGCATCCCATATGGGCACTGGTTCATATCCCGGCTGTTGCATATCCAATCCTGCTCCCTACTAATGGCCTGAGAAAGGCAGCAGAGGACATTCGAAGTGTTGGGCCTCTGCTGCCCACATCGGAGACCCAGATGGAGCTCCTGACTTTGGCCTGGCACAGCCCTGGACGTTGAGGCCATCTGGGGACTGAACCAGTGGATGGAAGATCTCTGTCTGTCTCTGTATCTCTCTGTCTTTCTCTGTAACTTTGACTTTCAAATAAATAAATAAATCTTTATCCCCCCCCCCAAAAAAAAAAAAAAAAAAGAAAACCAAGTGGTTAATATGCTGCTTGGGACACCTACGTCCCATACAGGGTATGCCTGCCTTTACGTCCAGGCCACCTTTTTGCTAATGTACACTTTCAGAGGCAGCCGGTGATGGCTCACGTATCTAGGTCACCACCCACCCATGTGGAAGTTCCAGAATGAGTTTCTGACTCTTGGCTTTTGCCTAACCTGGTGTTGGCTGTTGCTGTCATTTTGGGGAGTGAATCAGTGGATAGAAGATGTCTCCCTCTCTTTATCTCTGCCTTTCAAGTAAATTGAAAAATAAAATTTTTTTCAAGTAAAACATAAAGTGAATAACTAAATTATTGACATTAAAATTCAGTGAAACTTAAATGGCAAATTACTTAAAACCAAAGAGAGAATTAGCAAATTGAGAGACAGATTTGAGAAAATGGTGATTACCTGGAGGATGGGGCTGGGAGGCTGGGAGTTGTTTGAAAGAAACTGGCAGGGGCTGGTGCAATGGCACAGTAAGTTAATCCTCTGCCTGTGGCACTGGCATCCCATATGAGCGTTAGTTCTAGTCCCAGCTGCTTCACTTCCAATCCAGCTCTCTGCTGTGGCCTGGGAAAGCAGTAGAAGATGGCCCAAGTCCTTGGTCCCCTGCACCCACGTGGGAGACTAGGAAGAAGGCGCCTGGCTCCTGGCCTTGAATCAGCATAGCTCCAGTTATTGTGGCTATTTGGGGAGTGAACCAACGGAAGGAAGACCTTTCTCTTTGTCTCTCCCTCTACTGTCTATAACTCTACCTCTCAAATAATCTTAAAAAAAAAAAAAAAGAAAAGAAAAAAAGAAACTGGCAGACAAAACAGATAATTTACTTTGTATTTGGTGGAGTTGGTCATAAACAATCAAGTGTGTAAGATGAGAATACTGCTATGAATAAAAAAGTAGGCATTGTGGTGTAGTGTATTAAGCTGCCACCAGTAATGCTGGCATCCCATAGGACCCCCAGTTTGAATCATTTGAGTCCTGGCTGCTCCACTTCTGATCCAGCTCCCTGCTAATGGCCTGGGAAAGCAGTGGAAGATGGCTCAAGTATTTGGGCCCCTGCCACTGATGGAGGAGACCTAAATGAAGCTCGTGGTTCCTAGCTTCTGCTTGGTCTGACCGTGTGGCCACTTGGGGAGTGAACCATTGGAAGGAAGATCTCTCTCTCTCTCTCTCTCTCTCTCTCTCTCTCTGTTTCTCTCTGTGTGTGTATGTAACTTTGACTTTCAGATAAACAAATCTTAAAACGTTAAAAAAGTAAGCAGCGGGGCCGGTGCCACGGCTCAATAGGCTAATCCTCCACCTAGCGGCGCCGGCGGCCATTGGAGGGTGAACCAACGGCAAAAGGAAGACCTTTCTCTCTGTCTGTCTCTCTCTCTCACTGTCCACTCTGTCTGTCAAAAAAAAAAACAAAACCAGAGGCCAGCGCCACGGCTCACTAGGCTAATCCTCTGCCTGTGGCGCCCGCACCCTGGGTTCTAGTCCCAGTTGGGACAACAGATTCTGTCCCGGTTGCTCCTCTTTCAGGCCAGCTCTCTGCTGTGGCCCGGGAAGGCAGTGGAGGATGGCCCAAGTACTTGGGCCCTGCACCCACATGGGAGACCAGGAGAAGCACCTGGCTCCTGGCTTCGGATCAGTGCAGTGCTGGCTGTGGCAGCCCTTTGGGGGATGAACCAACGGAAGGAAGACCTTTCTCTGTCTCTCTCTCACTGTCTAACTCTTCCTTTCCCCTCCCTAAAAAAAAAAAGTAAGTAGCATCATTTAGGTGAAGAGTTCTCAGAATGATGGTAGGTTTTTTAGGGACTTCTATATTGTCTCTCGTGGGAAGGCCTGTTCAGTGGGAGTAGGTCATGTAGATATTCGGGGATAGCACATGGCAAAGATGCATTTCACATATTCAGGAAACACCTGGCCTATGTGACTGGAGGAGAAAGGGTTAATCTGAGGATGTAAGAGCCCCTGTTAACCTTGGAGACCATAACGCAGACTTCCTATTTTATTCTGAGGGAGAAAGTAATCCATTGGATATTGAAAGGTTAATCCACAACTGATTGAAAATTCAAAACAAAAAATTGGTTTGTTTCTATAATGTGTGATTTAAAAAAAAATAAATATATATATGCTAAATCACTTGTAACCAAGGAGAAATGCTAGGCTATATCTGTCTCTATTCCAGATTTCATGCAGAAAGAGCTATTGGTATCATTACCCACATCCTGCCTGAAGATCATCTTCTTTTGGCTTCCTCAAAGAGGGTGAAAGGTATCCTTTGTACTCTAGTCTCAAGATAATTTTTAGGTGATGATACATGTTACAAAAATAGGAGTATTTGTTTATTTTCTCAGAGGTAACACTAGGTTAGACTTACATGTTGAGTTTCCTATAATTTTTGATGAGATTGTTTGCTTCTCACTTATCATTAGTTAATAAGCCAGAATTTCTTTTTGTCTCTTTTATTTTTCAACACATGCATTAATTTCGTTTGAGAACAGCAAGGAGGAGTAATGTAAATAAGTCTGCAGTCACATGGATAGAAAATAGATGATGAGTTTTATAGCTTTAGCTTCTTAAACTGAGGTTCGTATCAGCTTACTGTCCATGTTGCAAGGCTATGCCCAAATAGTATTTTCTTCTTCTTTTAACTTTTCTTCTAATCACTACCAAAACTCTTTCATAAAATGTATTATTTTACTAACTTGACTGAGCCACCCATATGTAATTTTATACATCATGGGTAAATTTTGCCCTAACTAGGCTTCCTCCCTCTGGGTTTGCATTTTTTAAGTTTTACAAGTAATAGTGATTAATGTCAAAATTAAAAGATAGAAAAGCAACACAAAATAAGTTAACTGATATCTCACCAATCCTGATTGAACATTTTGGTGGATTTTCTAAAAAATTTTCTTTGTTTTCAGTTAAATGAATGAATAGTTCTTTTTTTTCCAGTTTTGTAACCTGATTTTCTTTCCAATACATGTAAATGTGTACCTTTTTTCCTCATATATTTAACTTCACCTTTATTATTGCACCTTTATATTGTTTTAAACCTTTTGTTTTTAAAAATGCTATAGTGAAGTAAACTTCTTTTACTTACCTTTGTGCACATAGACATTTTTCCAAGAAATAAAACTACCTGGTAAAAGAATATGTATATTTTTAAGGCATTAGATGGAATTTGAAAGTCTTGAATGCAACTTTGAAATTGAAATATCGTCTTTCCTGATTTGGTTGGTCAAGTGAGTAGGAGGAAACCAGTTTTTTAGTAATATTTGGTTAAAGGTTATGTTTTACAGAGGGTGGTTTCAAAATTTTCAGAAGTATCTAGATGCTCCTTGACACAGTTTCATAACTAAAAACTTTGCTTGTCCTTTCCATTTCCTTTAAAATACAAATTCATATCAGTAAAATAGAGCAATTTGTTAATAGAAACTAATTTTATAAAAATAATTTGATGTTTACTATTCTTTTTCTTGAATTTTACTTCATCATACCTTATACGGTAACCTCCTCAAAGTGTACTTTTTTTTGTTAAAGTGAATACTTTGATCTTGACCAGTATAGACCATGGTTACATTTAACATCTTCAATAAACATATTTGTATTCAGTTCTGAGTTCAGTATTCTGAATAACTTGGACAGAGGGTTTTGAAGTGCACTGACTGGTTGCTTTCATTATTCAGCACTTATTTTAGAGGAGATTGCAATTGACTGTCACAATAAGGAAACTGAGCAGAGGCTGCTTCAAGAAGCCCATGATTTGCACCTGTCTTCACTCCAGCTAGCTAAGAAAGCTTTTGGGGAGTTTAATGTACAGACAGCAAAACACTATGGAAATCTTGGAAGACTTTATCAGTCAATGAGAAAATTTAAGGTAGGAACATATTTTATTATGTTTTTCTCTCTAAATCTTAAATAAACTTCATTAAGTCTTTAATAAAGAGTCAAAATATAAATAAGAAAATGCAGGATCGTGCATAAAGAATAAATCCATCAATCCAAAAAAGCTTGGTCCAGCATTGTCGTGCAGTGGGTTAAGCCACCGCCTACAACACCAGCATCCCATATGGAACTATTGGTTTGAGTCCCACCTACTCCTCTTGTTGGTACAGCTCCCTGCTAATGCACCTTGGGAAAGCGGCAGAAGATGCCGCAAGTACTGGAGTCCCTGGAATTCCATGATGGAATTCTTGGCTCTTGGCTTTGGCCTGGCCCAGTCCCGGCTTTTAAAGCAGTTTGAGGAACGAATCAGCAGATGGGAGGTGTGTTTTCTCTCTGTCACTCTACCTTTCAAATAAATAAAATGATTTTTTTAAAGATGTATTTATTTATTTATTTGAAAGAGTTACAGAGAGAGAGAGGCAGGGACAGAGGTCTTCCATCAGCTGGTTCACTCCCCAATTAGCCACAATAGCAGGAGCTGCGCCGATCAGAAGTCAGGAGCCAGGAGCTTCTTCCAGACCTCCCACGTGGGTGCAGGGGTCCAAGGATTTGCACCATCTTCTGGTGCTTTCCCAGGCCATAGCAGAGAGCTGGATCAGAAGTGGAGCAGCCACTTGAACCGGTGCCCACATGGGAATGCCGGCACAGCAGGTGGTGGCTTTACCCACTAAACCACAGCGCCAGCCCCCTAAAATGAATCTTTATAAAAATATATATTAAAAGGGAAAAATTTTAAAGACCAAGAGGCAAATATGATTTTTAGCCTTAAATTGTATCTCTTAAGTTAGGTAAGTATGTGCAACTCTTAGCAGAATATCTGGTAGGTACAAGACAGATACTCTAAGTACCATTAATTGTGGCAATATAAATTACTTTAATTCTCTAAGCATTTAGTGTTTTTTGGTTTTTTGTTTGTTGGTTGGCATTTTTGTTTAAGATTTATTTTACTTATTTGGAAGGCAGAGTTACAGAGCAGAGTGAGATCTTCCATTGGCTGATATACTCCCCCAAATATCTGTGACAGCCAGGGCTGTCCAGCCTGAAGCCAGGAGCTAGGAATTTCATCTGGGCCTCCTAAGTGGTTGCAGTTGCCCAACTAAGCACTTGGTCCATTCTCTGATGCTTCCAGGCACATTAGCAGGATCTAAATCAGAAGTGTGGGAGCCGTGACTAGAACCAACACCCATATGGGATGCCACTGTTGTGGGTGGCGGCTTAATCCACTGTGCCACAACACTACCCTGGAGTTTCATGTTCTTCTTTTATTTGTTTTTTTAAGATTTATGTATTTGTTTGAAAGTCAGAGTTACACAAAGAGAGAAGGAGAGGGAAAGAGAAAGAGAGATCTCCCATCCGCTGCTTCACTCCCCAATTGATTGCAATGGCCAGAGCTGTGCCAGGAGCCAGGAGCTTCCTCTGGGTCTTCCCACAAAGGTGCAGGGGCCCAAGGACTTGAGCCATCTTCCACTGCTTTCCCAGGCCAGAGCAGAGAGCTGGATCAGAAGTGGAGCAACGGGTCTCAAACCGGCGGCCATATGGGATGCTGGCACTGCAGGCGGCAGCTTTACCCACTATGTCACAGTGCCAGCCCCTTATGTTTTTAATATTGTCTGTTTTAGAGTCACAGCAAGGACAGAATGAGTGTCTGCCCAAGTTACTCTTTTTGTTGTTGTTGTTGTTGTGTCCCAGTTACTCTGAGTTTATTTTTTTGGGAATCATATTGGCAAAACTAAAAAGGAAGTGAAGTTTAAATTAAAATATGATGCTACTGAGTTTCCTAACAACATTTAAATTTTAGAGTATGTTAGCAAAACGAAATAATTTTCATTTAGGAATGTTTTGTTAATTTCTTTTAAAGAATTTTTATTGCCAGAGCAAATTTTCTTTTGTTTACTCTTGGAATAGGATGTCTTTATCAGTAATGCTTGTATTGACAACTTTTGGAATAAATTGTATGTTCTTTGATCTAATGATTATGGCATTCATAAGATGTCACTGGCATTTAAAAGATTCTTTCTTACTCAATAAGAACTGTTGACCTGTTAAGAAAAATCATAATCTAATGATTGGGCTGGCAAAATTACTTTGCAGGAAGCTGAAGAAATGCACATCAAAGCAATTCAAATTAAGGAGCAACTTCTTGGTCAAGAAGATTATGAAGTAGCCCTTTCTGTGGGACATCTGGCTTCTTTGTATAATTATGACATGAATCAGTATGAAAATGCTGAGAAACTCTATTTGCGATCTATAGCAATTGGTATGTTACCTTTCAGTTTTCTTTAGTCAGTTGATTAGCGATCAGTATGTCAGCATATCTTTTATGTGTGTGAGGGAAATGATATTACTAACAAGACTTAATGGATTTAGCACTGCCAAGGGGATATCCAGGAACCACCCAAAAATCATGGGAGCATTTTGCTGAAATTGCTTTTTTGAGGTTGATGTTAGTTCTGGGAGGTGTGACAGTATTATCCAAATGTAAGTAGAAGCAGTTATTTGCAATTATTTGTGCAAACAGTGCCCCAAGAGTTTTCCCCCTCCCTTTGCCTGACCTTTAACATCATGGATCACCTTTACTTGTTTTAGAATTTGGTGTAAATAGAGTCATCCAATGGATATTTTTATGTGTCTGGCTTCTTTTGGTGATGTTCATGCATAGTTTTCATAATTTGCCTTTTCCATGAACTCTTTGAAGACCCCTTGTGTTTTTCCATTCCATCATTAATGAACATATGGGACATTTAGGTTATTTCCATTTCAGATCAACAAATATTTTCTTATTTTCCCTTTTTCATACAACAGGTAGAACACTATAGATACATGTTTGCACTTAAATTTTTTTAACAAAACAGTATACTCCATCCATATCAGTTCATAAAGAATAGGGAAATTCCTCCTCAATTTATAGCTACATAATATGCCATTGAGTGAAAAGTACCACTATTGAAATATTCTATATGTTTTCATTTTATTCTATTAGTTTATATACAAACACTGCTATAGTATCTTCCAATTGTTAGTACTGCCATTCTTTACTCAGAGTAAGAAATAACTTTTTCATCTGTCTCTTCAAATCATAGAATTTGTAATTTATTCTGATGAGGGCAGCTTCTTTAGCTGCTTTTTTAATGATTTATTTATTTATTTGAAAGGCAGAATTAGAGAGAGAGACAGAGAGAGAAGTCTTCCATCTGCTGGTTCACTCCCCAAATGGGTGCAATGGCTGGAGCTGTCCCAATCCAGAGCCAGGAGCCAGGAGGTTCTTCTAGGGAAAGGGGCCCAAGCACTTGGGCCATCCTTCACTGCTTTCCCAGGCACATTAGCAGAGAGCTGGATGGGAAGTAGAGCAGCCGGGACTTGAACCAGTGCCCATATGGGATGCGGACATTAACAGGCTGTGACTTTACCCGCTGTGCCACAGCACTGACCCCTGAGAACAGTTTTTTTGTTTGTTTGTTTTTTGTTTTTAAACCTTAGACTGCTCTTAGATGGAATGGGTTGAGGGTGCTAATGCAAGAATTACGTCTGTTCCTTTCAGAGGAGTGAAACCAATCTGCCTGATGATAAAGAGCTGAACTTGCGTTGGTGTTGCAGAAAGTACTTATCTAATACTTGAGCTTTTTTTTTTCTTTCAGGGAAGAAACTTTTTGGTGAAGGCTACAGTGGACTAGAATATGATTACCGTGGTCTCATTAAACTTTACAACTCCATTGGAAATTATGAGAAAGTGTTTGAATATCATAATGTTCTGTCTAACTGGAACCGGTTGCGAGATCGGCAGTATTCCGTGACCGATGCGCTTGAAGACGTCAACACCAGCCCCCAGTCCACTGAAGAAGTGGTGCAGTCCTTCCTGATTTCTCACAGTGCTGAGGGACCAAGCTGCTGAGGGAGGACCTCAGTCTACCAATTACCTTTTCCCAGATTCCAGGGAATTCATACTGTGAAATCTAAACCACGTTGTTTTTGGGGGCTGGAGTTTGTATTGAAACACTGGTCCAGTCCATTGAAGACCCTATTTTGGGTGATCCTTATCTTTCAGAGTGTCCGTAGGAATAAGCATATATTCAGTTATATTCAGCATGTACCGCATGTATAAGTAGTCTGGCCCACATTTTCAACCTAGTAGAAAAAAACAACAAGAAATCTTTTTTTTTTCTTTTTAAAAATAATTCATTTTGCAAAAAGCCTGAAAGAAAAAAAAGAACCCCTAAATAAAACTATTTAAGAGTTTAAAAGAGTTGCATTCTTATTATGTAAGGATGATTTTAACAACTTTTTAACAGATAATTCTTCCATGTGGAGGTATTCAATATTGTAAAGAAATTTTATGGGGAATAATCTTTATATGCAGTATAGAAAAGTTAACACAAGTACTAATAAAAGAGGGACATCCTGACTTAGGTTTGGCTACCTTACCCCAAGAAGTGGATACAACCACCCCAGAGCTGTACCTCCACGGGGTGCTGTCAGAGTCATCCAAACTGGACCAGTGTTGATCTGTAAGTAGTGAAAAATTGTATAGACCAGCAGTTTGAATTCTTTCTGCTTGTTTGTGTCGGTACTGCAGTGCAAGATGCTCTGATAGTGTTTTCTCAGAGGACCAGGAAGACCTGAAAAGGACCAGCCTAACATGGAAGGTGGTTATTTGGACCAGAGGCTTGACATTATTTTAGCACCTGCCTATACTTTTATTAATAGAATGATTTCATTTATATATATGATGAAAACTGATAATGCAAGAATTATATTCATGTAATATAGATACCAAACTATGGAAATTTGGCAATTTCAGTGGCAAGCCTTTAGTCAGGTACACAGATGACATTGCCATAAGCAAGTCTGTAAATTAAAAATGTCTGCTGCAGCCATGCCCTCACTCTAAGCGCCACCCTGATAATCCGCGCACTTAACTAGTCTGTTGTCTAGGTTATGAATTAGCTCATGTCCACATGAGACTTTTAAGTTAATGTATGGTTTGGGATTAGTGAAAATGAATGCCCCAAAATAAGTCTTTGAAAATCCTTTGTTTTTTTTTATGGTAAATAATAACACAGTTGGGTCATTTTATTTGAAATTGAAGAGTCAAATAAAAAATCCCTTGATGATATGTCTGTTTCACTAATTTGTCTTTCTGTTTAGTGGTTTTTTTTTTTTTTTTTAGGCCAAATTCTTTAATGCTGAGGTAATGAAATTTGACATTACAACGCATAGCAATCCAAGAAACTTAAAGGTCTTTTGCTGTTACCTCAATTCTTACTGTAGTGGCCCATGTGGTACCTCTATAGTTAAGAATCTGGGTTCCCCCCTATTTTCAGGGGTTTGTGACTTGGCTGTTAAAAGATGTTGCTCCTGACTAATGCCAGGAGCTGTCATGGTGGGTGAGTGGATGTGTGTTGGGTTTTGGTTTTCTTTTTACATGCACATTGGGTGGGAGGAGGAAAAGTCTGAACTGTCTGTCGTGTGAGAACAGAAAACATGTGTTTTCATCATGCATTTGCACTCCTCCAGTTTAACCCTGTTTGAGTTTGTAATGGGCGATCTTGTTATGAACCAGTACATTCAAGGATGGACATGCAGCCCAGGCCCTAGCATGATGATGATGGGGTTCAGGAGTCTGGCTTACTTCTCAAATTCAGTTATTTTCTTTTTTGAATTTTAGGTTAATTGGCACACCTGCAGTTTATGAAGCTGGTCCCCCTTCCACTTAATTGCAGTCTGATGCCAAGAGGCACTTCTTTATTAATTACCAATAGTTTGACCAAGGACTAACATTTTTAAGTTACTCAGCTCTATCCTTGTGGGCCTATATATTTAATACCTCCAAAGATATTTTCAGGATAGGCCTTGTGTACTTTAAGTGTTTACTTAGAGTCCTGTGGTATGTCTGTGGTAAAGGAATGTCATGGTAAATTGTTTTTCAATAAATATTTTGAAATTTATGTTGCCATATGAAGTGGTTTTGTTTTTAATGTTTATTTTTGGCTTTGTGCACATTTAGCATTTCCTAGAGTAAATTAGCATATGATGTAAGGCCTCGTTCACCCTCAGCTCAGCTCTCACACAGTGATAAGGCGGCATGATATTCAGAAGCCTGGGACCACAGGGTAATGATGTCAGGTGGCGGCCAGTTCTTTATAAACATCACTGTTGGCCGTTTCTCTGTTACCATTGCTTTAATGTTGGTTTAATATGAAGTTCATATGATTTGTCTTAATGCATACACGCTAGCCTAAAAAAGATCGCCATTTTCTGTTAGTAATATGACTTAGTATGCTGTTTATCTTTCTTTTGAAGAATAATACCCTAGTCATTTTAATTGGAATTTATCCCTTGGATGCTTGGGAGACATTAGATGAATGCCACCTTGATTTATGGAGTTTTAAAAAAATCTCAAAAAAGGCTGAAATGGACTTCATGTTAACCAGTAGCTTGCAGACCTTTTGTATACGTCTAGTGAGGTTGTATGTAAGGAAGCCCTGGCCAGCCTAAAAGATTTTTCTGGAGGTCCAGCAGAGAGTTGTTAAATAAGGGGCCTGACTTAAAGTTTGGTGCTACTGGAGTCAGGTGCATCAGGGAGCTCTGTCACACGCTCGCATGTGCCATCCTGGTGCTGGCACTGCTGCCCTCTGTTTAATAAGGTTAGTTGGGTTTGCCCCAGTACAATCTTCATGGGTTCCCTAGAATTAGGACCTTTCTTACCATCAAATCTCTGTCTCTGCTTGGTTAAAAATTAACTGTTGCTTTGTAGGAACCCCTGCCCAGGTATTCTTACCTTTGTGAAAATAAAGAGTTTGACAAGGCATGATAGGAATAAGTCAGGCTTGGAGATAGTGAGGGTGCCATTTGGCTGCTGCTTACAGTGCAAACTAAAACTGGGCAGTGTCACATGCCTAAAACAATTGAAGCTTTCGGCCAAAACTACAAACTGAAAGGATGCTTTGCTAAGTAATAGATACTGTTACTTGCCACTTGTTTTCTGTGTTTTCCCCAGTATTTGTAGCCTTGCTGCTTCTAGACCTCTTTGGATGGCAAAAATACAACTGGAAAAATATTTGATAAGTACACACATTCTTTAAAAGAGTTTTATTTTTGCCTTAAAAATTAACATGTTTCACCTTTTGGCTTTGGAGGACCTCAGCTGCCAGGAAATCCCCTTTTCTTCTTTTTCTTTTTAACTTGACATTGGAATCATCTATCCAGCTTAAAAATTAGCATTGTTTTTCCACAAATCTCAGGAATGTTTGAAGAAGAAAACTAGTTTTACCCTGTTGATCTAAAGGAGTGTGCTGTAGGATTTACTAAATACTGCTTAATTGCAATCCTAGGTATCTATAGCATGAGTGGCCTTAGTGAGTTTGTTGAAGTACACGTTTTTCAAAATAAAATTTTAAAATTATGTTCTATCTAGATACTAGAAATCTCGGCTTGTGGTGCACAGTTAAGTGTTGGATCTCTAAGTAACCATTGCAGGTACCATTCGTGTAACATGACTTGTTCTGTGTATTCTTTTTAATGGGAAGATATGTTGCCATGGTAACTAAAAATTTTCAACTTTGTTCTACTTTTACGATGTGAATGAATGCTACATTTTGTTAGATATTACCAGGTCAGTACTATTTTTATACTTTATTAAGCAGCAGGGGATTTTAGTTTAATAGGCTCAAACAAAGAGCTCTTACTTTACCAGTTAAATCACTAACCAGTCTCTCCACGAAAATCCCCATTCCTAGTGCCACAGTAATTTCTATAGACATACCTAAGGTCATTAATAGATTTTTGAAGACAGTTCATTGTGTCTGACAACCTTTCATACCATTCTTACTGACTTGTAGTGCCCATCATGGTTTGTAATTATTAAACCATACTAAGTATGTTTGTACCCAGCATTGTGATATATTCTGTACTTGTATTGCTAAAAATGAATTATTGACCTAATAAATATAGTGTTCCTGCTTTCACAGTGTACATGTTTCCAATTTAGTTGTGATTGTTTTGGGTTGGGACTGGAAGTTTTGTTAAGCTTTACAGACTGTTTTCATTAATGAACTCTGAGCAAACTTAACTACAGTAAGAGGCCTGCTGTCAAGGAAAATGAGGGTATGTGGCGGAGGAGACACATGGAAACAGCATCTGCAGGCGGGGCTCCTGGAAGCACTTTGAGCAAATAGGCTCTCCATTGATGCCATGGGCTATTTTAGTCTATACCAACTAACTGCCATTCCTGTCTCTGGCCATATAGCTCAGAAGACACCTAACTTTGTGCTGGGGATGTTGGGGGAATTCCAGCTCTGCATCTTTATTAAAAGGAACCCTCTTTGTGTTTCATTTCTGCACATGAATGAGGAGGTCAAATTATGAGATGCAGTGCCAGCATCCCATAGGGGCGCCAGTTCGAGTCCCAGCTGTGCCACTTCCAATCCAGCTCCCTGCCATGGCCTGGGAAAGCAGTAGAAGATGGCCCAAGTTCTTGGGTCCCTGTACCCACGTGGGAGACCTGGAAGAAGCTCCTGGCTTCTGGCATTGGATCAGCGCAATTCTGGCCATTGTAGCTGTCTGGGGAGTGAACCATCAGATGGAAGACCTCTCTCTCTCTCTGACTCCCTGTAACTCTGACTTTCGAATACATAAAATAAATCCTTAAAAAAAAAAAAGAAGGGCAGCACAACTTTTTTTTTTTTTTTTTTTACAGAGTTAGAGACAGAGAGAAAGGTCTTCCTTCCGTTGGTTCACCCCCTAAATGGCTGCTACTGCCGGCGCGGATCCAAAGCCAGGAGCCAGGTGCTTCCTTCTGGTCTCCCATGGGGTGCAGGGCCCAAGCACCTGGGCCATCCTCCACTGCACTCCCGGGCCACAGCAGAGAGCTGGACTGGAAGAGGAGCAACCGGGACACAATCTGGCGCCCTGACCGGGCCTAGAACCTGGTGTGCTGGCGCTGCAGGCAGAAGATTAGCCTACTGAGCTGCGGCACCGGCAGCACAACTCTTAATCACCCAATAGTTACAGGCAATGAGCCTCAATCTGAACTACTAGAAGGAAAATTTTAAACTAAATCCCAACTTCAGTTGGAATAGTTAGCCCCAGCCTCATTGCCTGACCTCTTCATGATACTGAAAATTTTTGTAAGTTTGCCACAATCCCCCTTATAAGACGTAATTTATTTATTTCAAAGGCAGAGTTACAGAAAGAGGGGGAGAAATCTTCCATTCACTGGTTCATTCCCCAGATAGCCACAACAGCTGGAGCTGAGCCAGGCCAAAACCAGGAACCATGAGCTTCATCTGGGTCTCCCGCATGGATGTAGGGGCCCAAGCAGTTTGGGCCAGCCTCCACTGCTTCCCCAGGTGCATACTAGTGAACTGAATTGCAAGTGGAGCAGCCGAAGTTTGAACTGGTGCTCATATGAGATCCCAATGCTGCAGACAGGAGGCCAACCTGCTTGGTTGGTTTTGTTTTTAAAACATCTCTGAATGACCTTGAACCTTTTTTTTTCCAAGCTTTTTATTTATTTGAGAGGTACAGTTACAGATAGGGAGAGACAGAAAAGTCTTCCATCCATTGGTTCACTCCCCAAATGGTCACAACATCTGGAGCTGGGCCATTTCGAAGCCAGGAGCTGCTTCTGGGTCTCCCGAGCCGGTGCAGGGGCCCAAGCACTTGAGCCATCTTCCACTGCTTTCCCAGGCCATAAGCAGGGAGCTGGATCAGAAGAGGAGCAACCAAGATATGAACCGGCGCCCGTATGGGATGCTGCCACTGGAGAAGGCTTAGCCTACTGCATCACAGCACTGGCCCCAACCTTGAGCCTTTAAAAAAGTTAGTGTGTGTGATTTTCTTTTCATATTTATTTGAAAGGCAGAATAATGAAGGAGAGAGGTTTTCTTCCCAAAGCCCACAGTAGCTGGGGCTGGGCCAGGCTGAAGCCAGGAGCCTGGAACTCCATCCACTCACCCACATGGGTGGCAGGGGCTCAGCTATGTGAGCCTTCACTTGCGGCCTCCCAGGCACAGCAGCAGGAGGCTGGATCGGAAGGAGAGGGGGACCATGACCTCAGGCTGTCTCACTGTGTGTCTCAACTAAATATTTTTTTAATATGCGGTTTACCTAAAAGCAGCTTTTAAAAGAAAGAGGGGACAGAATTGTAGGAGGCAGGTGTTTACGAGAGCACGGACTTCAGAGTCCCAAGGAGCCATCACACCGTTTCTGCGCCTGGCTCCTTACCTGCCAGATAAGTACTAAATATTTCTCTGGTTACCATGAAGATTAAGTAAAACAATTCAAGTGCCTGCCTGGGTGAGCACGAGGCCCATAATGGTAGTTATATGCTCTGGAAATGTTCCTTTCTTCATATATATATATATATACACACACACTTTGCTGCATTAGCAGAGGGCTGGATTGGAAGTGGAGCAGCTGGGACACGAACAGGCACTCTTATGGGATACCAGCACCACAGGTCAGGGCCGTAACCCGCTGCACCACAGCACCAACTCCACTGGGAAGCTATTCTAAACCACCTGAACACGAAAGGCTTAAGATGCTTGGTGCCCATTCACTGGGCCTCTGGCTTGCTGATGAGCCAACAGACATTGCCACCACTAGATGGGAGTTCACAATTGTGCCAAGTGTGTGCTTGTGATGTTTCTGTCAGGGCTTCCACAAAGCACAGAAGATGACATTAACGATGAGGTTGGGGCGGGCTTCATGGTGCACCAGGCAAGTTGCTGTGTGGGAAGCCAGTGTCGACTCCTGTCTCCTCTTCCCGTCCAGCTCCCTGCTAATGCACGCCCTGGGAGGCAGCAGGGGACGGCTCAGATACTTGGGTTCCTGCCACCTGCATACGACACCCAAACGGAGTTCCAGACCTCCTGGCTTCCTCCTGGCTGTTGTGGGCATCTGGGGTGTCAAACGGTGGATAGAAGAGATACCATCAGTCTCTTTGTCACTCTGCCTTTCAAATAAATAAACTATAAACTTAAACTCTAGCTATTTATTTTGATGCAAAGACAAAAAACAAAACCCTGAACTCCATAATCTACATTTTCTGTGAATTTCTTGAAGACCTTGCTATGTGTTGTCTTCATCCTCACGGAAACCTGTGAGGAGAGCGTTATCCCCATGTGACAAAAGAACGTGAAGACGGAGGAACGTACGGTAAGGTGTGCTGAGTCAGAGCGAGGCAGACTCGGGTCCAGGGCAGGAGTGCGGAGGACTGCACACGCGGTGAAACCCCAGGACATCAAAGCCACAACCCCACAGGGCTTGTGACACCCCATTTCTGCCACTTCCTAGCAGGATCGGCTGACAAGCAGCCATGTCCTTCCTTCAGGTCACTCGCAAAGCCACGGTAGCCATCCCCAAGCTCCCTGGCTGCAGGTCCCAGCAGAAGTCGGGCAAGGTGACGGGGCTGGGGTGTTAAATGAGGGAAAGTCCCGAGATGAGACCCGGGGACCCCTCTCCCTGGACTGGGCTGCAGTGGAGCAGGGCTGTCAACTCAACCAGAGAGTCGAGCAATGTTTTCTTTCTTTTTTTCCATAGAGGAGGTGTATATTAATTGTATTGAAAAATACCACAGGGGCCGGTGCTGTGGCTCACTTGGTTAATCCTCCGCCCATATGGGCACCAGGTACTAGTTCTGGTTGCTCCTCTTCCAGGCCAGCTCTCTGCTGTGGCCAGGGAGTGCAGTGGAGGATGGCCCAAGTGCTTGGGCCCTGCACCCCATGGGAGACCAGGAGAAGCACCTGGCTCCTGGCTTCGGATCAGTGCAGTGCCGGCCACAGCGGCCATTTGGGGAGTGAACCAGCAGAGGGAAGATCTTTCTCTCTGTCTCTCTCTCTCACTGACCCTGTCAAATAAATAATTAAAAAAAAAAATACTACAAAGTATTTTTTTTAAATATTTATAACCCTATAGCCAAAAGATAGCTATGGTAACAGGTATTTGGCCTGGTAGTTAAGACATTCTATCCCATTTCAAAGTGCCTGGGGCCTCGTCTCTGCTCTGGCCCTTGACCCTGTGCAAGATTGGGTTCCTTCTACTCATGTGGGAGACCTGAACCGAGTCCTGCCTTACAGCTTTAGCCTCAACCCAGACCCAACCAGCACAGGCATTTGGGGAGTGAACCAGGAGATGGAAACAGTTTATCTGTCTCTCAAATAATTAAAAATTTTTTTTAAAGATTTATTTACTTATTTGAAAGTCAGAGTTACACAAAGAGAGAAGGAGAGGCACAGAGAGGGAGAGAGAAGGAGAGAGAGGTCTTCCATCTGCTGGTTCACTCCCCAACTGGCCGCAATGGCCAGAGCTGAGCCGATCCAAAGCCAGGAGCCAGGAGGTTCTTCCAGGTCTCCCATGTGGTTGCAGGGGCCCAAGGATTTGGACCATCCTCCATTGCTTTCCCAGGCCACAGCAGAGAGCCATATCAGAAGTGGAGCAGCCGGGACTTGAACCGGTGCCCATATGGGATGCCGACACTGCAGGCAGCGGCTCTATCTGCTATGCCACAGTGCTGGCCCCTAATAATTTTTTAAAAGTGAGAGCTACATTTAATGTTTTTAGCATATTTTTTACTCTTTTTATTTTCTGATTTTATGAGAGAGAGATCTTCCACCTGCTGGAATGGTCATCTATGGTCAGCACACTGACTGCGGCTCCCACGGGAAACCTCCCTTCTGTTCAGGATCTCACAGCCACAATTTGCAAAAGGTGCAGCTATTGATGAACGTGGCCTGGTGTCAGTTAGACGTGCATTCCTGAGGACTTTCACCTGTTGTGGCTCAGCCTCTCATTGCACAGGTGTTGTGCACCGTCAATGGTAGTGGCAGCAGGAATAGATAATTAAGGCATTGTTAACTCTCACATGTTTGTGTGGTTCTATTTTCCTACACTGCAGTACAGAGTCTATAGCACAACGCAGTTTGGAAAGTGTGTGCTCGTGAATCAACAATGCTCGCGAACATTCTGAGA